TCTGTGTTTTCTTCTAATGTATCCTAAACACAGACCCATCTTTAATCTCAATTGTCCTACAAACTCTATTTTACCCCTCTCATTGGGGGAGTCCCATACCTGTAACTACGATGTCAAAAGATCAACAACCAGACATTGCATGAAATGTAGGCCGTGCTGAATTGAACATTGTCTCAGTTGACATACTTTCCAAATGATGAAGCCAGGAATGGGAGCATGCTTATGAAATGGAAGACCCTTTTTAGGGTATGGTTAATGAGTGACTAGCAGGCACACTTTGCAAGAAGACACATTCTCTCACATAGGGCCTGCAGCTATGAGACATTAACCTCAATATCCTCATTTCTTCCCATCAATATACTGCCCCCTTTCTAGTTTCTACTTATCTACTAACAACTGGGTTATGTGTACATCAATCTCTATCTTTGCCTCTTTCCAGCTCTAGCTTTCTCCTCTATGATTCTGAGAAACTATCATTTAACCGGTCAAAGAGGGACATATATAGCATCCAGCTCATCACTTTCAAAGTCTGCATTTTGTATCATGTTTTGGTTAGCTGCATTGCCGATTTTGGATACTATTTGTAAGACAGCAATGTGTTTTTTTGTTCTTGATTCTTGTAAAATTCTATGTTTAAAAAAGTATTTAATATTTCCAACTAGTAAAGTTAGAGTGCATGTTTGTAAAGGTTTGACATAGATTATCATCAGTTAATATCACTAGGTCTAGATTTGCTGTTGATATTTTTGGTGTTTTTAGAATAGAAATAAATGTATGAATTGCAAGATTGCATCATGGGTTTTCTAATTGTATAGAGAATGGTATTACCAAAAAGTAAAAGTAGAAACTGAGAAACAGTTTTTTAAATAAAAATTACAACATGATGACTGTGTACAGATATTACTGTATCAAATCTAGTAAAGGCAATGACAATGATTCTCCTCAAAGACAACCCTCATAACATACAAGTATTTCCATTGATGTATACATGTGAGCTAGGGAGTGTGGTGTTCAAGTGGTTTACACTTGACTGGAGATGTGAAGGCCACGCTGAAAGTGTTGACCTTCTTAGTTCGACCTCATGTTCAAGAAATATTAACCAATGACCTATTAACACACTTTACCATGATCACTCTGGGGCTTTTGACACAGATATCAGTTTCATCAGGGGTCCTTAACATGATCAAGACTAAATTGAAACAGGTAGATGACTTGGCCTTGTGTTTGGCGATGTAAAGAACATGAATATCATTACAGAGAGTTTCTCCTTGATCGCTTAGCCTACATCTGTAATAATGCAGGTAGAAACTAGAAAGTCAGGGTACTTTCAAACAATGGTCGAGCAGACATTCAACGATGGACCATGTATGAGCTTGAGAAACATGCATCGCTCTGTCTCCGTTCCTAAAACCAGGACAAAGACCCAGAAACATGCTTAGAGTAATTGATCGACCGAACATGAAAAGTCAGAGAGATTAATTTAGATTGAGTCTGGCGTACAGCAGGGAGGGTGAGAGAGAGAGAGAGAGAGAGGGGGAGAGACGGCAGTGAAGTGATTCATCGCAGGGGGCTACATCCATATATATGAGAAGGTGGTGGACAGACGCTGCCCTAGAAACATTCATATTCTTGATTACATCCACACATCAACTCGATCATGCCTTAATTAAGAAGATGCCTTGTTCACACTTCAAGTCATGGCTTAACCTGCATGGCTTTACCTGCAGGACAAAAAAAAACAACCACATATTGGTTGGATGCATGAGCACATACCGGTACATGTACAGAAAAGAAGAACCCCTTTTAGACTACACCATGCTGGTTTGACCCATTTACTCAGTGATTTGAATGTAATGAAAGAAAGAAAGACATCCAGGAGGGCAACAACGAGTCAAACTAAGAATCACAACAGTCAGATCAGATCCAATCAAATTATTTTTCAAACATAATTTTCTGAGAGCCAGAATTTCCCATTTTTGAAAAAAAAAAAAAAAGATTTTTGAAAAAGCATCTTTTCTCTTAAATTTTGTTTCATGTCAAACGCTCTTCTTCATTTACTTGTAATGTGAAATATGAGGCTGCATGAAGATATAATGCGGATCCTTTTCCTTATAGCACTGTATGTTTTTAATGCACATGCTTTTTCTTTGTTTTCAATACATATTTCTGCAATATACAGGTATGTACATTAATTTACCCCTACATAACACAAAATAAGAAACTTATATGACCGCTATTTCCTTGTAGTATCTCTTTCGTGGACTGTGTATATTATGTTGAACAATCAAAGCATCCTTTGGAATCTTCCATTTCAAAATAGGGTGATCCTTCCATTCTGAGCACCCCTACAGAGTAATTCAAGATAGAGTGTGCCAACTGTTCTGAAAAAAAGAATGTTGATCTTACATTAAGATCATTAGATGTTCTATCATACAAACAAAAGGCCTCTTTAGAGCCCATAAACCTCGTCATTTAGGGTCGTCTGGCCGTTAATTAGCCCTCTAGGAGCTCGCTAGACGTGCTCTATATTCAATTCTAACCACACTTCCTCAGACATTCGACCATCAAAATACATTTGTCTGACAAACCCCTATATATTTCTTGTGAATTGGCATTAATGGAAACTCATTACGCTCATTAGGAATGTTTGAAGTGTTTCCTTGTCTGCATTCTACTTTACTTTCAACTTGTCTCTTGTTTTCTATCAAGTCTGAGTGCTGCATTACCTTCATTTCTATTTATCAAGACCACCCCCTGCTAACCACAGCTTTGGATTATTCCATTTTACTAGAACTATGTGTAAATGTGATAATAATAAATGTGCAAAGTACACATACTTTTTCTCAACTACCCCTATTTTAGGAATGCTATGACCCAGCTTATGTCTCATCAGACACTTCAACAGGCTGAGGTTTCAAGCAATTTAACAGTCTGGAGGATTTCCTTACCTCGAGGCTATATTTTCTGGAAATGAATTACCGGTATGAAAACATTTTATTCCCACTGTTTCATAATGTACCATGAATATAAAGAATAAACTCACAACACTTCATCACTGAAAAAAAGAAATTACATAATTTCATTTAACATCAAATTACAAAAATATACATCTGATTTGACTTGTCCATATATGGGTATATATAGGCCTATAGGAGTAGTACAGCTACAAGGATTTCTAATCTACGAATATATGATTAACAAAGCACACATCACATGAGCTCATTAGTAGTATCATCTGAACATGAGATAAACAGCAATGAAGAACTGGAGAAAAGGGATTACTGGCTTCATAATGAAGTAATCATGTTTCAATGTACGTCATATGACTTGCTTTTGGTTGCTAAGCAACTGTATTACCAATACCAAATGCTGCATATGAATAATAAAAGATTAAATAACAAATGCTTGGAAATGTTTATATATAGTTCTGTCATACCTTCTATAACCCATAACCAAAACAAACGGAAAAGGAGAGGTTACATAATGAAAGAGAAGGAACAAGACTTTTTTTTAAGGGGGGGGGCACAAGAAGAAGGAAATTCCTGCAGTAATGCAATATAATCTAACTCATTTTTTTTTTTATCTTTAATATTAAAAAAAAATCTTTTCATTTCTTAAAATCTAGTTAACACTATCATATTAAATGATTTTAACCTCCAAATACACCTGATACTCTCCCCACTATTATTACATGAGCAGAAGATTACATGGGAAGAAACAAGGAGAGCACTAGAGGAGATCAGAATGGAGTGAAGAGAGACTAGACTACACACATTTTGGGTATATAACTTATATAAACATTGGAAAAAATGCACCTACAAGGTATGTTGTTAGAAACATCTTTTGAATGAATAGTATTACATCAGAGAATCTTTTCCTGCATCTCTTACACCATTCACAATCAAAATGATGATGCCATACTGACAGTTTAATATGATCACCAGAATACACACACACACATACAAAATCAAAAGTAATTCTTTTTGATGTTGCACATCATGGTTTGTTTATTCTTTTAGAACTATATTGCCCAAACTACTCAATTGTCACAGGACATGTCATTCAGTGTCCATCCACAAAGCTTTAAATAGTTATTGCCCAAGAAACATTCATGGCCCTAACTGTTTAATGTGCTATATTAAGTTGACGCAATAACAAGCTTATTCATCAATCATTAGTGGTCTTTTCTCCATTTTGAATAGGATCAAACTTTGCAATCACACAGAAAACAAGTCCACATTGTTTTTCAATACTGATTGGGCAATATGAATATCAGAGGTAGATTCATTCAAATATTTTTCCTTGAAAAGAAAAATCTTGAAAAATAAATATACAAAATATCATTTCATCAGTCTCACTCTCATAATAATTCAAAATCACTGGCACATCTTTTTCACTTTTGTTTTGCTAACAACTATTCTGGTGGAAACAATATTGATTATCATTTTTCAAAAGAGATCAAAAATGATTTTATTATTAAATCTACAATCTGAATCTCATGACGATGACAGGCAAACACAGCTGCAGTCTACCTTTTATATCAATATTAAAATAATAATAATCTTTTTAATAATAATAATCTTTTAAAGTCCACTCCAAATTTTATCAAGTTAAACCGAAAATGGAAATTCTTTTTGCCCAATTGATCGTGAGCCCGACAGCCACTGAGCAGCGCCGGATCGACGGTGCTCTATCCCTTATTGTTGAACGCCAAACAAGGTAGTAGCAACTCCCGTCTTTTAACGTCTTTTGGTATGACGCGGCCTGGGTTCGAACCCACGACCTCCCGGTTGTGAGGCAGACGCTCTACTGACTGAGCCAACACACATGTGAGAAACCTAGCTGTATATGTCTAAATATCAGTCCGACACATGCAGGTTGATGGGTGGAGGTGTTCATTTTAAAGTCTAACTTATAAATGAGATCAATTTTTTGTTATTTAGTAGCTTAATCTATCACTACCCTCTCGGACTGAAAAATATAGGATTCACAACTCCTAATAAGTGTCTGTCCGCCTTCAATAGTCTAAGCAGTCAAGGTAAAAAAAAAGATCATTTTCTGGTTTCTGGAGTTCCTTTAGGAAATGTCTTTTGGAGCTTTTGAGAGCAAAATCACTCACTGCTCTGTCTATTTTCTTTTACTGGGTCTAAGATAATCAGTGTCAAAAGTTCTATTATTCACATTGATAATATCTCTTGAATCTTGTATTACATATATGCAGCATCCTGCCATAACAGCAATTTGAGTTACAAACACACCCACTTTTGAACAGTACACCTCACAAGCAGAAAAACGTACAATGGCAAAGTGGAAAAGTCTTGAAAGGTCAAAGGTTAGAAACCCTTCAGGTAGAGCTTCAATCTTTACTTACCAAGCCCATTGGATAGGACTTACATCTATAGGTCCACTGGATGCTTATCTATAAGCACATGTTTTTATTCCTAATCATTCATGTAAATGAGATATCAACCCTAATTCATACACATACACACACACACATCCATTAATGACATACCTCGGCACTGAAGTTAACTCCTTTACTATCACATATCTGCTGATGGGTTCTCAGTTCTAATAGTCTAGATGTATAATGGCTCTTGATCATATTCTCCCGTGATGTCTCATCACTGCCTCCAAAGTCCATCGCTAATTTATCAGCAGTTCCAAGCTTTATGATGACAGAAAAAGAATAAAAAAGAGTCATTTCATTATAATAATAATTAACTAATATTTAGATAAATTATTAATATTTTTCTTTGATACAAATGTAAGTACAAATTTCATGATTTCAAAATTTCATTTTGGAAATAAAACAAGATGTGTAATTTGGTAAAGCATTTAGATTTTTAATATTACTTAAAAACTATTGTAAATCGTTTAGTTTCTGGAAGTCCCCACTACTCTAGAAATACAATACTGGCAGTATTTTTTATGACTTCAGATTACCATAAAGATATATTTACCCATATTTTTATGAGAATTATAAGCAGTTTGGTAATGAAAATCTTCCATTAGAAGTTTGTTTAGTATGTAAAACATGTAATATGAAAGATAAGGGCTGATTTAATCGGGTAAGGAGCAATAAGGACTTACAATGATATGTACATAAGGACAGAAACACTTCTTTAGCTGTACCTACCATGGAAGTATCTTGGGCAATGTCATCATGTTTGGAAGCAGGGGTTGAGGGCGGTATTTTATCTTGAGATGGGGACTGCTTGATTGTGACCCCTCCTTGACCCTTCAGGACACTCTCAAGTTCGGCAGATTTCTGATTACACAAAAGATGGAAAAGGAGATAAGATTAATGAATAATGATGACAAAAAGATGAGGACAGGAGGAAAGACATCAAGCGTTAAAGATAAAGGTGAGTTCTGGTCATACGATTGCATAGTGAAAGAAAAGGTGTGGAATGGATCAGTAAAAGTTGATCATGTAGCATGTAAGTATTGGTGTGTACTGCAAGGTTCTGGAGTCATCAAAATCATAATAAATTTGGCCCAGTCTTGGTAAAGTAACAAGCACTGTACACAGAAAGATATATATGGGACTATACAAATGGTGTCGGGGGCCCGACACTTTGATTTCCTTATCTTTCTTCATTACTCAGCCATTATACATTTTCTACCAAAATTGTTTGGCAAATGACATTTATTTGTAATCTTGAACATTCAGTGTAAGTTTCTTTTGATTCTGTTTTTACCAGAACTCAAGTTTATCTTAAATATCACTAACAACGTAGCTACAGTTTAAACAGTCCTATTGCAAAATGACCCTCCTATTCCTATCATAAATGTGTAAAAAATAACTTACACTAAGTGTGAAATTTAAATGCGGAAGCACAGGTTATAAGAAGAAAACTTAATCTCTAATCCTCAAATCACCATTAAAAAATCTTCCAGTGCGGCGAGGTAATATGTGATGTTGAAAATAGCTTGGAACTTGTGATGTAGATCTTATTCAAATTCAGTTGCAAGTACAATACAACATTCAAATCTATTTCATGACATTCTTCTCCCTCCTTCTGACTTTACCATACCAAATAAACTAACATGATATACATCAACAGAAACTTATCAGAAAAACACAGGCATCAACTGGAATTAATGCCTCTATACATTCTCCAACTATTCCTCTCACAAACACAGTCTCGTTGCATATGAATCCATACCAAAGTAATGCTTTTATATACACTTTCCATGGAAAAAAAAAACTACTCTTATTAAATACATGAAATATTACATAATTTGATGCATTTGGCATAAACGTGATATCCAACCAATCTCAGACAACTCAAAATTGTTGGTTTGGAGTACACAAAACAAAAATCACCTTAATTTTTGTAAAGTCTGTAAAGATTGTTACCCATTATTTTGAATTTGTTTTAAAAGTGGAAGAAACTTAATATTAACCTTCTGCCTTGAATGTAGAATATAGTGTATAGCATTATGTACCCATTATGTCAAACAGCTGTTATATTTAATGCACAAAAAAAATGTAAAAGATGCTACTGGTTTCATCTCATGTCTCTATAACGTACTTAGTGTTTCGGTATGTTTCAAATCTAATCCAATCCAGAATAATAATAATATAGAACATTTAGGAGCGCTAAAACAATAAGTACCATAGCGCTTACAAATACAAATAATGAAAAGAGGATACAAATGTTGGTCTCACAGGAAGTAGATCACATAGATCACTGGGGGAAAAGGTAAGTTTCAAGGGATATTTTGAAGGTGGCAAGACAGGTAATTTCCCTTAAGGAAAAGGGGATGTTATTACAAGTCTTTGATGCGGCTACTGCAAAACAATAAGTGATATAATGCAGTTACAGTACTGATTCTCAAGGAAATGCAGCATACAAAGATACAAGGAGCAAACAAAAGATATAACAGGGAATACCAATCAAATTGATAAAATACAGTATAGATTCAAACATAAATAGAGGTATGATGAAGAGAGGAAAGGGGTGGAAATAGAAAAATAATGAGAAAATTAAGGGGAGAAAAAGCAAGAGCAAGAGAGAGAGAGAGAGAGAGAGAGAGAGGGAGAAAGAGAGAGAGAAAGAGAGAGAGAAAGAGAAAGAGAGAGAAAGAGAGAGAGAGAGAGGTGGAGAAGGAGCTAGATGTAGAATTAAATATGTAGATTTGAGGACAAATGGACAAACCAATACAGAATGGAACAGAAAGAGAAAAAAAATACAAATGAGAGAGGGATACAAAGAGGTAAGAAGTATACAGAGAGAAAAGAAGAGAAAATAAAAAGGAAAAGCAGAGAAGCCAAAACAGGGGGACAACAAGTGATTGAAATATAGCTAAACAGATATCCAGATATGGATGTGTAGGAGGCAAGGTGTTAACAGTTAAGGTGCACTCAAATATCAAAGCCAGTCAAGTATCCTTAAGACAGCCAAACATCAAATACAGCCAATGAATTGAATAAAAAATACAATTAATACAGGAATGCTAGGGGTAAAAATCAAGAGCGCAAAATGTTAGTACACAAAACCCATTCGTAAAATCAAGTTATAGGATTAGAGGATACTGTGATTAAGAATATACAACACAGCCATAATAGATTGCATTATGAATTACAATATCAATAGAAGCATCAGGCATAGTGTGCAATGTACAAAGGGATCACATTCCACATGCATATCTTACCTCACTATTTTCTTCTTTTTGCTAAGGAAAGGAAGCAAGGATAATGTGCTCAAATATTTGATTTGATTAAACTACATCATATTTGCAGGCTTGCTATTAGTTTGTTTTTAACTAAATGAAGAGAAATCAACTGCCTATCTTTTCTAAATATCACTATTAAGTGCCAGTGTTTGGAGGGTCATGGTTTATTCACATCAAACATCCCCATAATTATTTATATCCCCAAAGCAAGGGTAAAAAGAGCTGAGATGCATTAAACTTAAACTTTAATTGCTGCGTAAGAAATTATATGATAAAATGATAAACACAGAGACATGGAATGGGGAAAAAACAACTAAAAATATTACAGCTTTTAAAATCACAATCTTTGTGCTGTCTTTTTGTCATGTTGAGGTGTCAAACACACAATTTTTAGATGTACATGCTTTGACAAAAAAGGGGATTGGGTGCATAAGACTACAGCCTGTGCATGCAATCTGACTACTACAGGTTACAATATAACGGTAAGTAATATCAAAGGAACAATTAGGACAAGTGAAAGTGGCTATATTCTTAATGAATCTGTAACTGTGTGAAGAAAATAAAAATATGGCTTAATTGCACACAAACAAACATCTTATGGTTTTAAATTTCAAGTGTTAAAGAGAAGTTGTCTTTGTTGATGCTCCAAACACATTGCACTGATTCTAATATACAGTCCCCAAAGTTTGAATAAACAGCACTTTTAAGACTGAACATTATGTTGCTTTTACCAAACGATACAAATTAGGTAAACAATTTTATATCGAGAGTAGAAATACATGGAGATACAGGTGCAGGATTTTTAGAGAAAGAGCTAAGAATTGAATTCCTTATTTTGAAATTAGCTATTAAAATAGAATGCCTTTTAAATGCAAAGTGTAATTTTTTTTCTACAGAATAGCAAAGTTTACCTTTTGAATAGTGTAAATAAATGCTGTCTAACATTGTATTGAATATGGTAAAAAAAAGCAACATGAATTCTTTGCATAGATTTGCATTTGAAGTGTAGATACAGAGCAGCTGTTCTAAATTATTTTTCCCTAAATTACTTGTTTCTAGCAAAGACATCTTTACTGGTATTTGATTACCGGTAACACAACCTAACTAGCTCTGGATCAACATCAAAAGAGAAACCCTCAAAACATTAATATCCACTTTTGAGGAGGCGCGATAGCTCAGTCGGTAGAGCAGTGGTCTCGTTATCCGGTGACCCTGGTTCGAAACCAAGTCGATGCGCTAGTGCCCTTTGGTAAGGCATTAATCCTCATTACCAGGTCCCTCAGAGAGGACCTTAAGCTGTCGGTCTTCGGGTTGCTTACTAACAAGCATTTATTGCTTTCTTAGCTGTCAGGTAAAATAATCACCACTATCACTATCAATACTTTGTACCATCCCCTGAGCATCAAGGGGGTTAAGCTAATTTTGGAAATTTTGTTCTCTGGAAACTGAACCAGAAAAGCATCAATAAAACTTTTAAATTTTAAAATTTACCACCTCAGCACCTTTCTGTCCTCAGATTAATATAAAACACAATTTATAGCTAGCTCCCTTTGTAATTTAATTTTTTTTAGGGAGAAAAATATCAATTTTCAAGAAAGCATAGCAGGGCACACAAGATTAAATAGATCAGAAATAGCAGATGAGTTCAAGTGTTCAAAACTAATCTAAAATCCTTTTGGGTTTACGTTTTTGTTTGTTAAGTTTTGGCTTATCCATGTTGTACTTTTGGGTTATGTGCTTTCTTGCGATTCATATGGTAGTGCAACTTGAGCATTTGATTTCAAGTGAATGTGATGCCTTATATACCTTATATATTATTTAAATTTTTGACAAGACTCTTATGATTCTTATCAGACGATACGTGGCAACGGCTGTGGGAGAACATGAAATCCGTCCGTCCCTTGACTGGTTGATGACATACCTGCATCTCTCTATCATATTTGATCTGCATGAGCTGAGCCTCCAGGACCCAATGCTCCTTCTCCTGCTCCAGTCTAGCTATCCTGGAGCTGGAGGAGGCCACCTGTTGAGCAAGACCCTCCTTGCTCTCCGTTGAGCTCAGCAGGATCCTTTGGTTCTGGACGGCAGTCGAATACGGCACTGTTTCGGGGCATGGCTGAAATCAGAAAATCAAACAGAAGCATGTTCACAAAAATGACAAGCTAATTTAAATCATACTAGACAACAACTATAATAATAATTACAATATCTAATAACAAGGCTTCTGTAAAAAAAAGTTTTAGATACTTCAGTTTGCTTACAGAAATATATGTACTTTTTCAGGTTATTAAGCATAATCAATAAAACTGTTATCAATTGCAAGATAACCAGAAAACCAAATAAACAATTTAGTTAACTATTTGAAAAATGAAACTTGTAGCTAATTATAAAGCTACTTTATTCAAGTGTATTTGCCAAAAAGATATGACAAGTAAGTCAAGAGGTGTATTCCTCTTTTCATAACATGGTAATTGATTTGCCTTTATTATTCTACTATGCTAAGTTAGTATCAAAAGTCCCTCTAAAGTGTTGGGAGCCCTAAATTTGCCAAAAATGTATAACAAAATTTAACTAAAATTGTATCATAATGTGAAAGAGGATGTCATTTAAGGCACATTTCTGCAAAGATTTCCCCCAAAAATTTGTTTTGAAAATCCTTGAAGAAATGTGTCTTAAATGACATCCTCTTTCACATTGTAGGGCTCCCAACACTTATGAGGAGCTTTAAACCAATGGAAAAAGAATTTCTGTGTTATAACGACAGGTGAATCATTACATTCAAATGTTTATATAAGCACTCATAAGTAGAATTATGTCAGAATCACCTACTTTCATTAAACACTGCATTGTAAATTGATTTATGCGGTATATATGTTTAAAGAATATTGATATGTTACATTACATTGTAAATTGACTTATATGTTGTATATGTTCCCAAACAGAATATTGATTGTAACATTACATTGTAAAGTGATTATATGTTTATAAACAGAATATTGATGTACATCAATGAAGTTTAATAAATACAATACAATACAATACATTATTATTTGAACATGTTAAATAGTACACTTATACAATGGCAAAGGAATTCATAGTTTGTAGGATGTGCAGATCCAAATCCTGTATGTCTCTTACTTACCTTAGTCAACGCAGCCATAAAAGCTACTGCTCTCTGTCGTAGTAATGGTACACATGGTGATGTGCTCTGTCCTCCTACAGAAGATCCCATACTGTTTCCATAACCTACTGGACGAGTGAAGAAATCTAGGTTGGTCTTCATGAAGTTTGAGATCTATTTCAAGGGAAAAGAAAAGTAAATTCAATCAGAGTTACATGTACAAAAGAAGACATTCGTAATCAATATGGCGACATCATACCATAGCACACAAAATAGAAACTACAAAATATTTATAATTTAAACGTAAATTTGTTTCTTTTCCTAGATTTATTGCATCTTCCCATCCAATGGCTTAAAGGTTCAATCAGCCTGAACTGACTGATTCTATGAACAAGTACCTATGTGTTTATGGCTGTAAATCTTTCTTTCAAGTAAGAAAGAAAGCAACCATTGACCATGTTTATCCAATTGTATCCCATTTTCTATTACCTGAACTAATGGAAATAACACTTCCCTCACTGCATGCCAAATTATCAAATATATATGTTTGCACCATAGTAGTAGTACATACGGTAATATAGATATGAAATCACTTTCAGAGAATGGATCAGCACTTTGAATCCCCTCAAAGATTTTTTTGTGGTATTGTTCAGGAATTAAAAACTTTTTCAAGTCACAAAAACTAAGCATACTGTCGTCGTTAAAGTTTGATGAAATGAGATGAAGATGACAAATTTATATTTTATAACAAGTGACCTACGAATCAACAAGTGGAATGTGAATGACAAATGTTTCTTGGTGGGGAGCCCTTGGCTGATGTCACCAAAGGAGTTGCAAAGACCCCACAAAACTGTTGAACTCAAGGCTCCTAAAATTAGCAATATAATGACAAACCACAATAGAAAAAACATGGACTACTTTGTAAAGAAAGAGAAATTAGTTTTACCTTTCCTGTACACGTTACTAATGATATGAGGGATGAAACAACACATTCATCTGTTGTCTTGAGCTTCTGAGATGCTATTGGTAGCTGATGCTCTAACGACACCTTGAAGTTATAGTTCTTTGATAAATCTGTAGGTGAAAGAAAAATGACATCATTTTGAAAAATACATTCTTAAGTGTTCTTTTTATAAAGTAAAATGTAGTATCTATCTTCAAACCTACTTCTAATTTTTTTTCTTTGCTCTGATTTCATTTTTTTAAGTTTGAGTTATAAAGTATACCCTAAGTTAATTTTACGGAAAATTAAAAAGAATAAATTTGCAGTTCCAGTAAACAAATTGACTTGTTTCAAACTTGTATACCAAGTTACCGTCCTTGATAACAAAATATCTACTGTTTACCATTATCATAGACATTTATATATAAGACTGAAGAACCAATTGGTGAGTATCAGGTATCCTATTTCCAAGTTGGGGATGTGCCTATTATATACTTATAACCTATTCTGCACCTTGTTTCAACCATGTTTCCTCCATACCTTTCATGACTTCATACAGGTTTGTAAAACTCTCAGCAAGCTTCTCATAGATGGTTTTGAAGTTTGCCTGAGGACACTCACAGGACGTGGTACTAGCAGAGGCAAGGAGGCTGACGTAACTCTCCACCGTGGTGAAGACAGAGGACATTCGTTGTAGAGAGGCGTGAAGCTCCATGTTACGGGATTCTAACGTCTGGGAGCATGTTGACAAATGACATTCTTCTTCGATGCTGAAAAGTTTTAAAAAATACATGATCTTTAAGTCTCAGCCATATGATACTACAGAAAATATGCATGTAGTTCATTTCATTTTTATTTTTTCATTTCCAACAAAATACAATACATAATAACAAATACAATGTAAAATGTATACAAAACATAGTTACATTGGTAATAAACAAATCTTAATAATAATTTATACATTTTAGGAAGACAAAAAAATGAATTTAAAATTTTAATTGCATTTATATTTTGAGGAAATGGAGAGGTCCACTGAAAAGCAAAGCTTGTAAATTGTGGACCCCTCAGGTAATAATGAGTGTGAACAAAATATTGAATACATAATCAATGAAAGAAGAATAGTGGCCAACAGAGAACATTTATTAAAACACGTAATGACTGTAAACAAGAAGACGTAACAAATTACATGACGAAGAAAGAACAGAAAAAGGAAGAAGAAAAAAAGGGGGAAAAAAAGGAAAAGGAAAAGGAAAAGGAAAGGAAAGGTAGTTAAGAGTCAACAAGTCTCAACACTTTAGTTATTGGGCTTGCATGTCAAGCACCAATTTTTTTCAAGATTTCTCTTTAATATCTTGGTCGCCAATATTCAATTTGGTTGCCTGAAATTAAGCACATAAATAATGCTGTGGGTTATTTGTCAACTTTTTGTGATTGTGTGTGATACAGTGATATCAACAAAAAAGACTCTTTTCATTCCTGATAGCTTTCCATCAGGTTTTAAAGCTATATATATTTCAACACATGCTCTGGTGACAATTGCTCTAGCTGCTGTCATTATTCCACTCTATTCAAATTCTTCAATTCAACCCTGGAAGAAAATGTTATACATGTAACCAACCTTAACCCTGAACCTAACATAAAACCAAACTGCAACACTATATTTTGAAACAAGACAAATGTAACTGCTTTTCCTATATATGCCTCCGCCCTAATATCAGTTCAGGAAATGGATGGAATTATTCTTGAAATATCATGATGAAAACAAAAAGCCTATAATTACATGTCAACCAATGACTATGACCTTTGACCTAGGTACTACAAAAAACTAATCAGATCATCTTCCTATGGTGATACAAATTGTCTTCAAGTTTGACTTTCACACCTCCAGTAGTTCTTGAGATATTGCAAAAACAAGGCTAATACCTGTAATTTCAGAGATTGACCCTTGTCACCTTTGGCTAGTGATCTACATATCCCCCAATCTAATCAGATCGTCTTCCTATGATGGTACATACTATCCCTAATACCCCTTTCATAATGGCCTGATTTTCATTGGATGCATCCGGACACATCCTATGAAACGGCCACTATGAATGGTACAGCCGATAGAATAGCCGATGAAGAGAAGAGTAATAGGCGAAATTCTCTTTTTATCGGTGTGACCCAAAGAAACGGCTACTGTGAAAGGGTTCAGGAGAAAACACTGATAAAAATGGTCAAAGGTGGTTACCTTGTTTTGGCTAAAAGCTAGTGTACCGTATGCCTGCTTTTTCAGAACCCGGATGCGCACTGCATTGTCTGCCGAATCCCCCCAAAAAGCGCCAGCAGCCAGATCCAGGATTTTCCAATGGGGGGGGGGGGGGGGGGAGGGGGGTTGCAGAAATTTGAAAATCGTGCAGACCGTTGTTTTTGCTTATGGGGGGGGGGGGAGGGGGGGTTGTTAGCACTAAAAAATATATATTTATTTTTTTACTCAAACAGAAGGTAAATTTGTGGTTTGGGCCCCCCCCCCCCCCAAGGAATTTGGATGAAAAGACAATGGTTGGCACTTACATGAAAATAATTAAAGTGATTCATGTACATACACAATTGATGTTACCCTGTTTCCTTATTTCCTCAAATGATATACAGTACAAGTATTCTTTTGAATGTCAAAAGCAGGTCTGGGCAATATGCAATGAATAAGTCATTTGGAAAAGGAATTTAAAAAGCTTCATCTCTACCAAACCCCAAACAATAAAGCTCCATCCTTGTAAAAATCAATACTACAACAATCCATGATCCATAAAAATTCAACCTATTCAGATACATCATTAACTTTTTTGTAAAAGGAATTTAGAAGGTTCATCTCTACCAATCTCTAGGAAATAGGCTCCACCCTTTTAAAATCAATACTTTAACGTTTCATAAGATTCAACATACACTGTATAATCATTAACCTTTAAGTAAAAGGAATTGTAAAAGGTGCATCTCTAAGCAATCAGGCTCCATCCTTGTAAAATCAATACTTTTGAAAATTCATCCATACAAGAAAACGTGGGGTACAGGGGTAGTATATGTGATTGACAAGAAAGGTAGACAGAAGATGGACTGAAATTTCTGCTCATGTTGCCAGAATAAATAAGAATCAATAAGTTTTTCTGGCCATATCATAATATTTAATCTGCTAGTTCAAAAGAATTTTCAAAGGAATTCTGAATTTTGCGCTATTAACCCTACCTTACGTGACTTGTTAGTGTATAAATAACATGTTGGGTTCATTAATCCTTTCATTTCTGTAGCAGCATTGGCAGTGTTAACAGCATCATCAAAGTACTTAAGATATCATCTTGAGATATGATCTTTAGATATTGCTAAAATACATCCGTTTAAACTTTTTCACCTCATATCAAGTTCTTTAAATCATACTTTGCTATCATCAGTCAAAATGTTTAGTGGAATGGAAATCATCCGCATGGCAGTTGGTTGTTTGGCTGCTGCTCTTGGTATTCCTGGCAACATAACAATCATATTTGTCTTTGTTAGACAAGGTATCAAGAATGCTACTGATGTTACCTTTACTGCACTTGCCATTGTTGATCTCATTGCCTGTATCATCAGCAGCATGAAGATCCCAATGGTCTTCTTTCACAACGAACACCCATGGGCATGTTTTGTGGAAATCATCGGAGGAAGGTCTGCACTCTATGCCGGATTGTTTCTCACGATCTCAAATGCTGTTTACCGCTACCAAGCTGTCTGTAAGCCATTTGAACGACGAATCGGATGGCGAGCGGCCATCTTGATCTCCATCGGTTGCACACTTCTTGCAGTCGGTCTTCATGTCCCGTTCTTCTTCATTACAACTTCAGTGAAGATAAATGAAGGGTCATATGGGTGCGACGTGTATGGCAACATACCATTGGGACGTGAGGTATATGCCAGGTCCCAAGCCATTGTATTCTGTGTTTCTGCCATAGCTACAACTGTTTTATACCTCATCATTTATAAGTTCATCCGTGCTCACCAAATTATTCGCAAGAAAATGTTAAATGCACATGTTACATCCCCTACAACAGAGAGTGTCATATCAGTAAGTGCTGCCATTTCTAATTCCGATGCTATATTTTCAAATGCCGCAGAGTCCAATGGGACCTCCAAGCAAGGACGACATGGCTCTCTGCAAAACGAAGTCCCTTGTGACACAAGATCCCACTCTAGGCCAGCCCATGATAAGACGGAGCAATCATCAAAGAAGTCTAAAAGACACCAGACTGATCATAAGACTACTCAAGTGGTCATCATCATTACAGTTATATTTTTTCTCTTCTGGTTTCCTAGCATTGTGCTTGATCAGGTTCCGTTTACTCAAATCCTTAGGACCTTCCCTGACAACCACCTGTATATCGTCTATTTCTTCTACCAAGCCAAGTACATCAATAACATCATCAATGTTTTTGTCTACTTGTTTGTATATCAACGCTTCAAAAATACCTGTTGCAGGCTATTCACTTATTGCAATAATGAACAAAATGTCACTAAAGAGTAATGTGGGAATACTTGTACAATTGTATAAAATTAAAATATTTCTAGCTAACAGTAAATTTGTAGATTAATGCTATTAAATTGAAATTTCATTAGGATCATTCATTGTGAGTAAACTACTGGTAAACACACAATCACCACCATGTAATTAGAAAGAAATGCAATTAAATAATTGTGGTTGTAAAACAGGAAGAAATTAATGTACCAATATACTGTATATATTACCAATTTGTCCTGTCTTCAATGCTTGTATAATACTGTACCGGTATGTTGATTGGTGATACCATATTCAACATATAAATGTATTTTTTCCTACTACTTTTCATGAATCTAAGTTCTTTTGGGTGGTATATACATGTACATGAACAAACCTGGCCAATGACATGTGGACACGGCAGGCACATATCTTGGTATCAATATATTTGACCATTTTGAAGAAGGAAATCATATTCTTTTCCTTTTGAAAAATGTATGAGTAAACCCTAACTCTAACCCTCCGGCCATGGGCGTCAATCATGGGGTAGACAGGGGGACATCCCTCCCCCCCCCCCACCCATTTTTGTTTCAAGGGTGGGGGACACAATATCAAATGTCCCCCTCATGTTTTTAACCTCCTTTATCATGAAGCTCAAGTATTGCACTGTGTAAGACCAAACCCTGTGCCCCGTTGCCCCGTGGCACAAACCTTTATCATATTTTGTATAATGAGAGGGCAAGTCTTATTGTTGGATTTTAAATGAAGCATATAATAATTTTGAACTCTACCTGCAGGACCAAACAGTCTAAGAAGCTAAAAAAGCAACTTGTGAAATTTGGTATTATTTCCTTTTTGTTCTCATCTTACTGAAAATCAATCATATTTAACTAGTATATTTTTATCATTCAGTCGTAATATAAACTTCTTCCTTAGAAGAGATTGTAGTGACGTATTAAAAAGGTGTCTGTCTATGTGCGCCTGCGTTATTTATCTTCTAAGTAAAGGGATTATATTTAAATATACTTTCAGTTTGAATTCAGTATGTTCAAAACATAATTTAATCAGGTGTTATGGTAAGGATTGCTAACAAACATGACAAACTATATTCTTGAGCTCGAATCGTATAGCCCGCAACTTCTCAGTTATTTCTGATTGAATGTTTTGAGCTTGCTACAAAATGGTGCTCAACAGCTGCTAAACCATAGTATTCTAGCAACTCTGGTAAAACATTGTTTACCACAGACTCCGAGATTTCAAGTATAAAACATGATTATCGCTGAGTTGTATAATTTTGACTTACTGAAATTTTGGATTCACTAATCAGGAGATATAATACTCTATCTCTCTTATTCAAGTGAAGATGTGTAAACTGAAAATGTTTTTTCGTTATTGTTAATATGAGGTGGACTGATAAATGGAATGTTATCATACTGTATGGTAAATGGAATATTACCTTGTATATTATTGTTGGAATTTTGAGAGTTATCATAATATTCAATATCTAGATGGTCACTTAATTCTCACTTACAACCATTTTATTTATACTTTATACAATATTCTGTATAGTTTCATTTTAACAAATTACAGCCATGACTTTCAAGTTGCCTTTTTTGTTTTGACTTACACAGTGTCACAACTTAAGTACACTCAATATTTTACCAAAGTGATGAAACAAATATCTTAAAATTTAACAAAAACAGTGTACCAAAACATTATGTTAGTGATAATGAATAACAAGACAGGTACATGTAGTAACAGATTTTAAACCTAACTGCAGTTATCAAGATATTCCATGGAATCATTTTTTTAAAAATGACAATTATATACCTCTCTTTAGTATGTTGAATAAATCTAGTCATCTGATTGGTCGAAATTGGAGTTGTGACTTTAACCATGCTCGTAAAGAAACAAACAATTGCCCGTTACCAGGATGAAGGGCAATAGTTAATGAGAAAGCGCCCGCAAAATAAGAAGAAAGGTGGTCTGCACTTACATTTAAATAAGTACAGTGATTCATGTACATAAAAAGTTTATGATACCACATTTCCTTTTTTCGTCAAATAATATAAAACAAGTATTCTTTTGAATGTCAAAAGCAGGCCTGGCCAATATGCAATGAATAAAGCATGTGATAAGGGAATTTTAAAAGTTTCATCTCTAGCAATCTCCTAACAATAATGCTCCATCCTCGTAAAATCAATACTTCAACGATCCATAAGATTCAACCTATTCAGATATATCATCAACCTTTTCGTTAAAGGAATTTAGAAGATTCATCTCTACCAATCTCTAGGAAATCAGGCTCCATCCTTGTAAAATCAATACTTTGAAAGCTCATCCATACAAGAAAATGCAGGGTAGTATGTGATTGACAATAAAGGTAGACATAAGATAGACTTAAATTTCTCCTTATATTGCCAGAATAGATAAGAATCAATATGTTTCCTGGCCATATCATAACATTCAATCTGCTATTTTTAAAGACTTTTCAAAGGAATAAACCTTGTGCAACCAAAAACAGGAACCATGAAGGCAAAAAAAAAGGAATTCATTAAAACAAAACTTACTAACCACGTGCTAAACACTTCCAATGCCGAAATGTCCATTCCTCATGCTGATATTTCCATATTAGGACCTATAGTCTATTTACAAGTAGGTAGTTTCTTGTTGTAGTTTTGGGGGTATTATCGGCATTTAATTCTTTTTGAGAATATTTACACCTTACAGTTTCTTTTTCTTTCTTTAAAAAAAAAACTATTTGTAAATTTGTACTCTCCATAAATCTCTATTGAAGTAGTGATCATCATTTTAGGGCATTTGGTTGACGAGCGGTATGTGCACAAAAGGCTAAATAAATAATAATAATAATAGTAATTATTATTTATAAAAAGAACATTTTATGAAGAAAAAAATGTACTACGGTAATTTTGAGAAAAAAACATAATGGTTGTCATTGGCTCTGCAAGATACATACATGAGCCAAGTTTGGCGGCAATCCATCAATCGGTTCTTGAGATAATGCGATCAAGAGAACCGGACATATGGACAACCCAAAAATATAATGCCATAAAAAATACAGCCCCAAGCATATATTGCCAAAGCATAACTCAAAACATTTTACAATCTAAAAAGACATAAAATATCCTTCTTACCTAAGGAGTTGGTAGGGTAAAAGCTTCTGGAGGTAGGCAACATATTTACTGAATTTAGCAGCAACATCCTGAAGTCCAGTCGCTGTTTCCTGAAAAATGTATTGAGTATGGTCGTAATGAAGACAACATCAAAATCATGCAAGGAATGTTGATTCAATAAGAAAATTTCAGAATTACTTATACCTTTTAATGGATATTTGTGATAAACTTTCACAATGTATGGCATGGAATATTTCAAGATGCAGCTGTGAAAGTTGTGAACATGACAAAGAATAGATAAACCTTTTTTTCCATCTTTTGTACATACACATGATCAAAACAGTACTACAAATAATTGACAATGCATAGGGGGAATCTCAACCAACCTAGCTTACTTTACTTGTTTTAAGATTTCGCCTACAAATTTTTGGTTTAATACAAAGACGATGGGTATCATGATGATTCATGATTGTAATTATGTTAAAATGTAATTATTTTGTATGTATTTATTTATTTATTACATGTATGCATCTTCAATTGTTCAAAAATCAATTTTTGGGGGTATTTTTCCATGACAATCTTGCATCTTGAATCTGCTTTAATATTCACAAAATGTATATATTTTCCGGGATGCTGAGCATTATTTAAGAGGCCTTTTCCTAATTCCAGCAGATATTGAAGAATAAAACAATACTTCCACTTTACTTACCAATGTTGTAAGAGCATCATCCCGAGTGCTTTCATTAAAAGCAGCAAACGACTGCTCTAATGGTCTTAGATATGAAGCATTCTCATGAAGATGGCTACAGAACTATCAAATGAAAAGGGGAAAAATGGGATTATTCAGTTATTTGGATTATAATAATGATTCTAACATTTACAACAATATATTTATCAATGAAATGAGGAATGATATTTACCAAAAAGACCAATAATTGACACTGAATAAGAATCGACAAGTGACAGCTAGATGGTGGCAACATATCACTAGATGAATTGTACTCACAGATCTTTATACTATCTGGATGTGTAGTCATACTATGGGGAGTGCAGTCCAATAGTTGTTGGGACTACCAAATCCATTGAAAGACACACACTGCACAGATAAATGATCTGGTTTTCATGTAAGCTGTATATGAACCTTTGTACAGAGAAAGCATTGTGTTTGGCAGTTCAAAGATGGCCACCTCTGTCTTCATATTCAATCATGACACCATATCCAATCTAGCGTAGTATCTAGATCAATGGTTAACTCACCTTCTGATTGACTTGGCTGATGGGCATACCAGTTCCTGAGTCAATGGGAAAGATCTTAGATCTCTGCTCTGTGTATGTATGAAAGTTAGATAATCCGGCACACAGCTCTTTAACTAGTGTTGATGCTTGACCCATCACTTCCATACTCCGATGCTATAAGGACAAATGGAACAGATACAACTGAAAAACTTTCTTCAAAGACATACAAATCATTTATCCATAATTGTATAGTAGTTCCTTTAACATCAACTTCATGGGATTTTATAATTTTCTCAATGTACTACACTGTGTTTATATTTATGCAAAACGATCTCTACATCAGTGTTTTTTTATTTTTGTTGTTGATAATAATATGTTTGTTATGAGATGTGACAAAGTCTGAAAACAGAACCCGAAACTTAAAGTGAAACTGACGTCGGTGGCTGCCACTCAAGGAGAGCAAAAAAATACGATGGTTACATTCTTTTCCTCTCCAATAACAAAACTTACATTATTAACCCACAAATTATTTCATAGCATACATGAATATTGTCAGATTTTACCCACATAACTAAATTTAGAAGAATTGCCAAAAGATATGATTTCGGGAACATAGGTTCTGAACATGAATTCCATTTACCTGATGTTTCTTGTCATGTGCTGGTACATTCAATCTGCTCAACTCAGGAAGTTCTGTCAATATAAAATCAAAGTGCAAATCAAAATTAACAGATGAAGACAGACAAATTTTCAGTTCCAAAAATTAGTCCATATAAACCTAAGGAGATTAATGCAAAATCCTCTAAATACCTGTCATTGGTGCCTTGTTTTCTTTCCACTGACTATTATGACATTTAATCAACAAAACAACAAAATCAAACCAAGGGAATATCTGTTTCACAGAGTGTGTTCAAATTAACAATTCCCCATATTTGGTCATCAAAGTTCTGCATTGTTGGCCAGGATTAGCAATTTACAATTTAAATTAATGATTATAATCATCATCATCATCATCATCGTCTTCATCATCATAATCATCTTCATCTATATCATCACCATCATCATTCATGGGCATCCAAGGTGTCCGAGTCCGGTCGCAGACAAGACAACTGCAGCAGATTGATCATTATCAATTTATACTGAAATCTCGACACCGACTGAAAAATACAGGTTCACCTTCAGAAACCTCATCAGAATAATAGCAGTTATAAGGTTGTGCGAAATATCAAAGAGATAGACACGATTGGATTTGCTACCAATATGCGTCACGCATTTATGTCATTCTTATTGAACACTGACATTGACAGTGCCGTTGACAACTACAACACTCAGCTATGTAACATTCTGGACACTGTCACACCTTCCAAAAGATATTTGTTATATTTCAAGTGTAGATTGCTTTAAAAATGCCCTCAAAACTCATTTGTTTAAAGCAGCTTTCCAGTAGATTTTGTTCACATTGTTCTCTTTTATTTTGTTTGTATTTTTTGTACTTGTAGTTTTTCTTCTCCATTGCGCCTCGAAACATTAGTCATGTGGAGTTGGCGCAAAACAAATACTTGAATTACGAGATTCTCAAACAAACCAGATGGTCTTTGAATGTCACAGCGGCATGGTTGCAGGATGGGCGCATATTTGTCGTGCTCACATCCAGCACGGGAAAGAACATTAAAAAACTAGTATCATCAATAGAAGAAGCCAGGAACTCTTCCAATCGATATACGATCTAGACGGACTTACATCAACATTATTGTTATTATATTTACTTGATTATTGTTTTGTTTTGGTTGTAATTTATTTGTTTCTATGTTGTGATTTTATCTAATTAATATAGAAGATATTTTTTTCTTTTTTCGAAAGGATGGTTAGGAAATTTCCATGTGTTTTGTGTAGGTAGTCAATGGGTACACATATTATGTTGCAGTGTGTCAAATGAACGGTATGATAATATGTTAGAAGAGTTTTGTGGATGGGAATGATAAAAAGGTACGATGGAACAGTTGCCCTTTTATGATGTGGTGATACAAAATGAAGGTACAGTAAAAACTCAAAAACAAAAAAAGAAGTATACCGGTAGTAATAAATCATTTGAATATAGGAAAAGGTAGTCAGTCTAATAAAATGGTTTTAATTATGCGCAATTGAATGTCAAAAGCCTATTTTTAAAAATTTGAGGGAAAATTTTATTCAACTTTTTTCTCTCAATGAAACGAAATTGGACCATAGTATTCACAATACAGGCAAGGAGGTGGAGTTGCAATTTATGTCCACGAAAGTCTTACTTATAAGCAGGTGTTGCACGACTCTATTATAGATTTAGAAGTTATCATTTTATTCATTGAATTGATGAAATGTAAACCCCTTTTGTTTTGTAATTGGTTTAGACCTCCAAATTCAAAATGTGAAGTCTTATTGTAGTGAATGTTCATTTGAATTTAGTTGAAAGTTGAAACAGATTCACAATTTGTAACTTTTGTCTTGAAACAAGACTAGGCATGACATTGTAAGCCTTTTGCTCGCCAGCCACTGAATTCTTCATCATTAAATAAAAGTTTAGCTTTTAAAAATCCAATTTATCCAAATCTATATATCAAAAAAAGTAAATCTAATTTTAAAGGAATAAAAATCCTGAGAGAAGAGGCGTAAATATTCACTTCTGAATGAAAAACGCCTATAAATTAAAACAACAACAACAACAGTCGTTGTGGCGTTGTGGCGTACGCCTGTAATCCAGCTAACAATGATAGTTAGCCGAGGACGCAGGTTCGAAACTGAGTCACGTCTTTCGGATGGTGACGTTAAAAGTCGGTCCCCAGGCGTAAATAATCATATCTGATTGATACACGTCTGTAAAAACCCAATTACACACACACACACAGTGTCCTTCAAGTACACTACACAGTACTACAGATAAGTGCTGTATGTGTTTGTGTGTATTACCCTTTGCCTGATATAGCAGGGCACTTGTACATAGACTACGTAGGCATGCTAGAAGGTGGTAGCTGGAAACTAAGAAGCTATAGTTGATGTGGAGAATCTTCTCTAACTTATCGCATCCTCAGATGTTTTAATGTCAAAGAAGCAGAATAAGGAGGCAAAGAGGTTAGTTATTCCTTTGAATGTGTTATTTTCTGATATTAAGATAAGAAACATTGTTCATCTGATGTTTAAGAAAACCCTTGTATAGTTATGAGTTTCTATTATGCAGACGATACTACTGTCTCAGTACCTGGTAAAACAAAAGAAGAAGTTGAAACCAGCCTAAACCAGGCACTAAACGAAATAATTTGTCTATACTTTACACATTTACATACTGTCTTATCATATGAAATGTTCTGTGTATGTATGTTTTTAAAAAACTTGTATGTATATATGGATTTCGAAAATATAAACAAACAAACAAATTCTCATCCTCCACATCATCATCATCATCATCACTATCATCATCATTACTTTCTGAAGTTACTGAGGTGGATGATAAATGAAATTTAATAGCTATCTGAGGCTTACCAATACTGTACAAGGGAATTACATCTTGTCCAAGTAGCTTAGAATCATGTTGCTTTCAGATTGAAAGCATGATGCAATACTCATGCTTACCTTCATCATTGAATGGTAGTTTGTCTTGAATGATGCGGGTCGCCCATGACAACTTGCTACCAAGCTCTTCTTTAGTTCTCCTCAGCTCCTCAGAACACTGCTCTGCCCTGCCCAGGGACTCACGTACCTTTAAGATAAGATGGATCATCACAGATACAGGGGTGATAGTAAGCACTAAAAAAAATAAAAATAAAAATAAAATAAAAAATTTCCCTCAACCACCCCCCCCCCACCCTTGAGTTAAAAAGGATTATTTTGGGGGGAATGGCATCTAACAACATTCCCCCCATTTGAAAATTAGCACAAAAAAAAGGAAAAATCAAGAAAATAGGGGTAAAATCAGGAAGAAAACAAATCAGGGGGGGGGGGAGAGAAAAAAATAGGTAATTATCAGGCCTGCAGATATCAGATGAAAATCCCATCTACACAACTAGCAATAACACAGACACAATTGATACCCTATAAATATTGATATTTCGTATTATGGGATATGGCTGAATTACTCTGATCAGGTTTAACAGATCTTGCAACCATCCCAAAAACACTTCTATTCCTTGTTTCTGACCATCACTACCACGGAGTACCAACCTCTTTGTCCCTTGCCTGGAGCTGTACCTCCATCCTAGCTCTCTCCTGCTGGAGCCGTTCTAGGGTCTCCTTGAATTGTTTCTCAGAGGCCTCTATCACGCTGTGATGCTGGCTACTGTCACGCTCCAGATTAGCTAGTTTGCTGCTTAGCTCTGTCACTATCTTCCGGTGTTCTTCTGAAAGGTCATACAGCTGCATTTTCAACAGAAGCAAGAATTGCTATTAGACTCAAACAAGAAAATGTAAACATAATAGTTTTGAATACAATAATAAATATACTGTTTGGGGAGAAATGGGATGGAAAATAAACTAGAAATATTGTGTTCCTTTATCAAACTTCCCCCTTTGTCAAAGGATAATCTATCAAAAGCTCAGTTTATCTGGGTTTTGTCATAGTTTATGCCTTGGAAAAGAAGAGTCAGAAATTTGAATAGAATACAAAGGACATTACATCGCTACAATATCAACCAGAACTGTAAATTACATCCTGTTTTTCCTTCCCACAAAATGCAGAGATAAAACTCTTCAATGTTTACCATTTCCTACATTAAGTCAGAATGTTCAAACAAATTTCCATAAAATAAAATTATCAAACCTGACATATCACCATTGCATGAATATATATTGACACTGGGAGTAGTTAACTCACGGCCTTTTCTATGCAAATGGAATGTAAGTGGAACATTTGAACAAAACTTGATTTCACCAGCCGGACACCTGTGATTTACCTGTTTGTGGAGGGTCTCATTTTCATGAATCTTTCCTCTCAGTTCCTCTCCTATCACATTGGGTGATGTCTTCACATGAGTTGCATTGTCCATGTCCTTGTTCTGTCAATCATATCACAATCAAATCAGAATCAATTAACAATTCTTCAATGGGGTTCTTAGGATGAAATAGCATATACATTCTTGGTTTTTTTTAGATGATAACTCCTCATGAATGTTTATATCAGAGACTACAAAATATATTTTCAGATCAATTTCTAATCTTAAAAATATTAAGAACTTGTTTTGCTCTATAATGGTAATGTAATGATAATACAGCTCTAATATCCCTCTACTTACAATAATGCCTTTGAAAAAAATAGTTTATCAAATAAGGGGTTATCTTCCCACATTGAAATGCTGCTGCTTGGTCATGAATAGACTTTTTAAAAGTAGATATGAGAGATCTACAACCTACATCAATGTCAGATATCACTCAGGTAGGTTTGACTATATGTTTATAATAGCTCTGTAAAAGCAGCTGAGGAAAGGCATAGAGCTCAAGATTACACTATGATCTCCCAAGATCTCATGATTTTTACCTTGCTCTTCTTGCCCCCCTTTGATTCATGTATATCCAGTTCATCTTGCAGGAAGTTGACCCTCTTGGTGAGCTGCTGGTTACGGAAGGTCAAACTGTCAAGCTCCTGCTCAAACTTACGAATCTTCTGGTCACGTACTTTGAGTTGCTCCTATACATCATAGTAAAACCAAAAAAAAGCATTTATAAAAGTTTCTATTAGATACGCTTTAAATGGCAATGGAGGCCAATCTCTCACACAGGTTACAGCAGCAAGACTACCATTCCCAATGAGAGAGTTGAAAAAGGGAAATATTTCTTATGAAATAATATTTTGAAATAATTACAGAAGTAAGATAATCTGACTGCACCCAAATGATCTAGAAACCAGATAGACACAGCTCAACCTGTATTGACATTGCTCCATTAAAAGGGAAGGTTGAGATCTAGTTATACATCTTTGGAAGGATAGAGTCCAGTATAGGCTAGGCTAGGCTAGTAAAGTAATCTAAACATTATGAATTCATGCTTAGTCTTATATATTCAATATTGTAAGGAAGGAAAAATTCTTCTTTCACAATTAGCTTAATTACCCAAATGTCATATCACGTCGACTGCTCCACAATGTACCTCCTGGATAATTATTCAATAGACAACAACCTTCAAGGAAATCTCACCCTCTTTAAAAAAATAACCTCAATTATTGTCAGACAACCATCTTGGAGGTACTGAATCAGGGAGCAGTTTAATACCAGGGAGATTAATGACCTAGGAGGGAGTTGTCTAGGGTAGGGTTGGGGGTTATTTTCTGAGGCCTGAGGGTCATTGTCTAGAGGGTATTTGTCTTACAATGCATCAATCATTGAATGGAAGTATTAGTGTCTTAAAGGTAAAGACCAGTTTTGGAAATGCCCCTTTCACAAAAAATGAAATGGAAGCTCTTATTACCAATCATGTGAAAGAATATGTTTCGACTAATACGTGACCATACAAATTTTGCTGAGAAACCGCCTACTAATTGATATATTTGGTAAATTAGTATATCTATTTGGACCTGATAGATATAACGCATGTGTCGCACACGTGTGTGTAGTCTCATATACATCTTTCTGTGTACAGTGCTTGTAACTTTACCAAGACTGGGCCACATTTCTTATCATTTTGATGATTCCAGAACCTTGCAGTACACACCAATACTTATATGCTAGATGATCAATCTTTTCTGATCGATTTCACAACGTTCCTTTTACAATGCGATCGCATGACTATAACTGGTCTTTATCTTTAATACAATCTGGATAGTACAGAATAACAGTGAACTAACCTTTGCATCATTCTGCTTAGCTTGCTCTTCAATGACAGCTTTTTTCAGCACCTGATTTTGAGCACGGACCTACAAAGAAAGAAGAATGAGATAACCAATTCATAACACAAATATGACAACAGTGGTCTAATATCATTTTTTTCACAATCAAGTAGCCCTTATTTATTAAAATGTAAACGAACTTGGTTTGGATATACATGTATGTTATACCATAATAATGGTACTGTATTCCTTGAAAAAGAGAAAGAGCTTATGATTAAAGGGTGTGAAGGATTCATGATTGCACTGTAAATGCACTTTTCTTTGATTAAGTTACAGAATAAAGATAATCTGTAATTAAGCTTATCGATACTTAATTTTGATATTTGATTGTTTTTTTTATTTAATATAATATGCTTATTTACCTTATTATGATAAGGAATAGTAACGTTCATGGCCCTCTCACCTCCTTAAAAAATTAGCATGCTAAAATTTCGCATTCTTCTTCTTCTTCTTCGCTACAAGTGCAGGCCAACGTCAGGTGTATTCTCGTACTGATGTAGGTGCTGTGCAGGTGTATATATAGTGACTCAATAAAAGGCCTACAAAGAACTATGTGCAAAGAACATTCCGCATCACAACATCCCAGTGTTGCACTGCGTGCATTACATACATATGTAGAGCACATTCAACTACCAGTAATGCTAGATTGCTAGCATCATCAACAACCATGTCAGAAGTCAACATGATTGTAATTTTGATCGCAAAATCATCTAACACAAAATGTCCATATTTAAATTTTAATGTTATTTCTGATTTCAAATTGAATTGCATTATTAGGAATAAGAGCATGCTAGCCAACTGCAAAGGTGGTTACTGGGGTTCATATTGTGTGGGAAGGAGATAGTTCGTACTTATTGATTTATTTATGCACTTGTTTACACAACTCTTCATGGGGGCAAATGGATGCCATTTGAGGTTTGGTGATACCATTACACATGCGTGAAGTTAGTGATTGTAATCTTAAATCTTCATTAAGTTAATCTAAGCAATTCATCATTAAGGTCGCTAACGCCTGCACCCCACCGTCAGTACGGTATGAATTGTATTGTGCAGCAGCTAGCAGTTTGCCGTGAATCCTGTAAGAAAGTGTACAGTACAGAGCTACCAAGTGTCACACATTGTGTGTGACAGTCACGCATCGAGGGCCAATAAACGCTGTCACGCATGGCACCTACTTTTGTCACGTGCATGCGTACTTTCTCTTCGCCAGTTGAATCGACGAAACAACATGGAAGAATCGTCGGGGTAGGACGAAGAATCACCCCCTTTTCCCATCGAAGACTTCTTCAAATTATAATTTCAAGTTGATGGATAGATGCCCAGAGGAGTCGAGCAACCTAGTAAGTCAAAAGTGTAATCTACCTATTTTGAGATAATGTCGCCCAACCACTGTTAGAATGTTTTTCAATGCACCACCCGAAGCTCCGAGTCCGACACCTTCAGCATCGGCGTCAGAGCTTCCCGGAGTTAAAGTTCTAGAGGTCTACTAGACCGAATTTTCCGTCTCTTTCGTTCGTTAGCCTCTTATTGGGGTAGGGTCGGCTCTCTCTTTAGAGACGGAAGCCGTTTATACACATGTCCTTGCTAACGCCACGGCCATTTCAGGTCGTAGCGTTTTGCCCCCAAAATCCCCCAAAATGTCATTTTACCTCGTGCATATCCACATGTAAATAAGGCCTAGGCTATAATACATCGGTTCCACTTACCAACTTGACTGAAATAATCAGTTTAATAGTCCCTTTTTAGGAAATTATGGGTCAAAATCGAAATCCATTTTGAAAATCTTTTTCAACGTGGATTTCGATTTTGACCCAGAAATTCCTAAAAAGGGACTATTTAACTGATTATTTCAGTCAAGTTGGTAAGTGGAACTGATTTATTATAGCCTAGGCCTAATTTACAATATAACATGCACGAGGTAAAATGACATTTTGGGGGATTTTGGGGGCAAAACGCTACGACCTGAAATGGCCGTGGCGTTATCAAGGGAATGTGTATAGACGGTTTCCGTCTCTAAAGAGAGAGCCGGCCGACCCTACCCCAATAAGAGGCTAACGAACGAAAGAGACGGAAAATTCGGTCTACTAGACCGAATTTTCCGTCTCTTTCGTTCGTTAGCCTCTTATTGGGGGTAGGGTCGGCTCTCTCTTTAGAGACGGAAGCCGTTTATACACATGTCCTTGCTAACGCCACGGCCAGTTCTGGTCGTAGCGTTTTGCCCCCAAAATCCCCCAAATTGTCATTTTACCTCGAGCATGTTATATTGTAAATTAGGCCTAGGCTATAATAAATCAGTTCCACTTACCAACTTGACTGAAATAATCAGTTTAATAGTCCCTTTTTAGGAAATTATGGGTCAAAATCGGAATCCATGTTGAAAAAGATTTTCAAAATGGATTCCGATTTTGGAATCCATGTTGAAAAAGATTTTCAAAATGGATTCCGATTTTGACCCATAATTTCCTAAAAAGGGACTATTAAACTGATTATTTCAGTCAAGTTGGTAAGTGGAACTGATTTATTATAGCCTAGATCTAGGCCTAATTTACAATATAACATGCTCGAGGTAAAATGACATTTTGGGGGATTTTGGGGGCAAAACGCTACGACCAGAACTGGCCGTGGCGTTAGCAAGGACATGTGTATAAACGGCTTCCGTCTCTAAAGAGAGAGCCGACCCTACCCCAATAAGAGGCTAACGAACGAAAGAGACGGAAAATTCGGTCTAGAGGTCTACGTGCTGAATTAGCGCCAATGATTTTTTAATTGCAATTGCAAAATTCAATTTTGTAAATCTAGTCTAGATCTAGAGTACTATCTCAGTATCTGACGACTGCATGACCCCGGATAGCTTGGCCTTGGCCAGTGGCATTATAGTCTAGAGTGCACATGAAAGGCTAAGGCGGTGCCAGGGGCGCGGCGAAGGCGAGACGTACATGTAGGCAGAGGTAGACACACAAAAAAGGCCGGGCAGCTTGACAATATCAAAATATTTACATTTTAACAGTGTTTAATTAAGGATTTTCTCTTACTTTGGCAAACTCCTGTGCCAATTTCTGGTACTTTGTTTGTAGATCTGACATCTTAAAACAGCATCAGCAGATTAGATCACTATTCCTGATTCAAACAGGTGTAAAAATGGAGCAGACGAGGATCGAGAAAGTGTCTTTCCAGAGGATCAGGCTCTGCAAAGTAGCAAACTGCAATGATTGCAGGGGGCGGCCATCTTCCGTATACAATTTCGCTGCCGTTCAATCCATGAATCCAAGCTTAATTTCCAATGCCGATATTGTATCAGCGAAATAAATGTACCTCGATAGTTCGGATATAAAAAAAAACAGAAGAAAAAAAAATCACGCTTGACCACGCCCCCTAAAGATGCCGATAGTAGATTCGGAATTGACAAATAAACTTCAAAGTTAGAAAAAAAGAAAGAAAAAAAGACTTAAACACTCCAAAAGGATTATCGTGAGGAATTCCCCCCCCCCAAAAAAAAATAATAATAATAACTAAATAAATAAATGAATAATCAGAAACATCTATGGAAAAGAAAATACGGTGGTTGGTGCAGCTTCTTTTTTCTAATAAAATTTGAAGGATATAATTAAAATTCTCACGTAATTAAATGCCTGAAACCCTTGAGCTTCTGGGGCCTCTACCCCCCTGGGCCCAACAAAGAGCCCCAAGGCGGGTCCCTGGGTGCTCATCCGTGATAATGTAATCACAATGTAGGCCTAAGGGTTTATAACTTTATATACCAATGTCTAAAAATTATATACTTTAGCTTTGAGGTTTCCCTTTGTAGGAGTCCCAAGTTGTGCCTTTTTTTTTTGGTACCCCCTCCCCCCTACTTTAGATGGCGCTCCGCCGCCTTTCATGGGAGATACGTACCAACATAAAAATCAATCATTGATTGATTTATTTTTATTCGACAAGCTTCCAACATATACAATAATAACAAATCAAAAATAAATCAGCTTGAACAGGATAACCAACGAAAGCTCGAGAGCTTATTTCCAGTGGGGTCCCTTATTGTATAAAATTAATAAGTTAAAATAGTAATATTTACAGACAGAAAATAAAAGAATTACGATAATAATAATAATAATAATAATAATAACAACATTAAACTGATGATAGAAATGATATTAAGTACTCAAAGAAAAAGAAGGAGAAGAAGAAAAAGAGGAGGGGGAAGAAGAGGAAAATAATGATGAATTTGTAGAATTTCTATAACGTACGAAAACATAAGTATATACAAAATGTAATGATTCGACCTAGTATGATATATTTTATGCACGTGATGCAGTACGAGTTGTTTTTATCTTTGGTCGACTTCAAGAAAACTAGCTTTAGAAAGTTCGCTGTAGCCAACATGAGTTCTTGGACCGGAACAGTTGATAAATCTCACCATTTTGTTCTGTATAATCTTCAACTTCTTTTTATCTGACTTGTTTATGTTACTATACCATGCAGGGTTAGCATAGTCAAATAAACATTGAATAAGGGCAAAACAGAGTGTACGTCTTGCTTTTAAATCCATACAACTTTGATATCTGTACACAAATTACAGACGAGAATTTGCTTTTTTTACAACTGATTCTACTAAAAATGAAAATTAAATTGCGCTATAGCCAACTCAATGCCTAAATACTTCACAGAATCTTTTCTCTTGATTACTTGATTATTGTGTGTCACTTTGAATTCAAATGAATTTTTAGAACTACTTTTCGAACAAAACAATATGCTTTCTGTTTTTCCCAAGTGTAAAGAAAGCTTATTATCAGTCATACAATCGACACACGTAGACAGCTGTTCACTGAGCTTTTCCTCAATATATTTAGGATCGGGATTTGAATAGAGTAGTACGCTGTCATCTGCGTACAATAATAGCATTTTGAAGGACGTTCTCCGGTAATCACAAAATACTTTTTTTTTTCTAGACTATAACATTACAGAGTGCATGGGCTTTATATCAAAAGTTATACCCCAAATCTTTGTATGACGTTATAAACACTTGATAAAACTATTTTTATTTATTATTTGATATCTGTTTTTAATTTAATTTCTTTCTTTTTTCTTTTTACTTTTAACCTTTTCTTTCCCTTTTCTTTTGTTTGTCTGAGTCCTTTTTTGTTTTGGTCTGGGGGGGGGGGGGGGCTGCTGCCCAAAAGCTCCCTCGCCATGCAGTACGCCAGTGTTGTCTATTAAAGTCTTGGACAAGAAACTTTTCTGTAATAACTGTTTTGGGGTGACCCAAGTTTGTTCCTCGTTATTCTCATGTGTCTTTCTTTTATTTCACTTTTCCTTCATTTCTCCTTCCTGTCACTTTCTCTACCCCTTTTTTTTGTTGTCGTTCTTCTACTTTCTTCCTCTTCATATTTTATCTCTCAATTTATTTCCTCTTCCTCTCTTTTCTCTTTCTTTTGGTTTTGCTCACAGTGTTGGTTATACATGTGCATGGTATGGTTGCCTGCCGGTTGACAGAGAATTACGCGTCACGTTTGCTTACTAATTTATGTATCCGAAATAACTTTCTAATCTTGCGTTGGACGGCAAGGACGGTCTGTCACGGATAACGAAGAAAATCACCCACTAAGACCTAGAAAGTCTAACTCCCAAGTCAGTTTAAACTAGTTAACGTGAGATAAGCTTCCATTATTTAACATTATATTTCTCATCATAACAAGTTTTGATTCTGGGTTGAAATAAACAAGTAACATAAATAAATTTGTCAAACGTCTTACTCTAGACCTAGTCCGTCACACTAGACTTTGTGTTTGTGGTGTCGGTAACATAGACCACTACAGTTTAATAGAGTCTATCTATAAATTATCACACGTCATCTCAATTTGAACCCGTGACTCCGGCGTGGAGATACCCAACTATTAACACACCAATATTGTTCAAATAATGTTCATGATTTAAAAGTCATTATCGTGTCAATTTTCTTATCTTTTTTGGAGTAGATCTAGGCCTATATTTCCTAAAAACAGACAGTAGACTAGGTCTACTAGATCTGCTTTCTCACAGGGGGCCGTTTCTCGAAACCAACTCCATGACAGTCATATCTTTGTCGGCGACCTACGGAGATGTCATGAAGCGGATAAACCGTTTCACAAAGCCATGACAGACATGATATCGATATATCGCGATACTAGCAGCTCAAGAACATAGTCTTTGTCACGATCCATTTGATTTATCAAGAATAACCCAAAACAAGTTTTGGGGCTAAAATTGTTCAAAAAGAAAAATATACATATAAATTCTCATAAAATAAATAAAAAATAGTGTCATTATCATATTTACATCATCAAACGATTTGCATATTTCTGTAAAGATTCTTAAATTAAAGAAAAACCGGTGAGTGTTTTTTTTTTGACAGTCGAATCAAAAGTTAGTTGAAGGATACCGTAATGTGATAGTTTATCAATACGTACTTTTTTGTTTATTGTGACGAGGAATTTTAGGCAAAATGTCTTTTCTCAGCCAGTTTTTATTCTAGAGTCTCATAAATACTCGTTATATAATTGATTTGATATTGAAAATATAATTTGGAAAAAGTAATTAGAGAGGGAATAATAATGCACATAGGCCCCAAAGGTATGACGGTATCCTAAGAAAAGACTATGGATCGACTATGGAAAACGGTGTGTAACATTCTTACCTCTCTTATTTATATTTTATAGTTTAATAATTTGTGATTTAATGTTTATATTCAGGTTTTTAAAGTTTCTGTATAATTTGTATTCTCACTTTTGTATATTTGCATTTCACATCCCAGAGAATTACGTACCGAACTCGTCTATATTTTTCTCAAAATGATAGTGAAACTAATCGTCCATTTCGCGGCCCATGGAATGGCAACAAACTGACTTGTGATGGCGCTTTACAGCAATTAAAAAGATATGACAGGTTCGGAGCAGTGACAACTCGCTTGTCGCGGAAGTTGTCGCTCATCTTGGCAAAGACGGCTTCGTGAAACACTTAGCTGACAAGTTGTGCGACAGTGGCGAGATGTCGTTGATCTTGTAGTTATGACGGTTTCGAGAAACGGCCCCCAGGTTTCACGGCAAACCGCTGCACAGTACAAGTGCATACCGACAGTAGGCCGGGATGCGAGTGTGTGTGTGTGTGTGTGTGTGTGTGTGTGTGTGTGAAGTTAGCGACTGTTATGATGATCATCAATTTTTTATTTGAATTAGTTTCATGAATTTAATGAGGATCTGAGATTACAGTCGCTAATTTTTTAAATGTCATATTAGGTCTATTTACATTTTAGTTTCATGTTTTCCCCCATCCAGTACAGAGTCTGACTCTGAATGCCAGTCACCTATCATCAGGTTAATCCTGTGATACCTATGCAGGAGGCACAATGTTTTCTGCAGCTCTGCTTTCATCAACAAGACTTTGCAATCCAGTGACGAAGGTCTGGACTTGCCATATATGGAGGCATAGTTTAACATGGGCTCCCAACACTTCAGGATTCAGCACAACATGCCTCAGAGTACCTATGACGGCTAGACTAAACAGTTTAGCTCTGAGGAATCACAGACTTCCATGGGATCGGGATGATGTTGGTAGAATGTTTCTTCCATGCTTGAGATCATGCAGTCGGTACTCTAAGACCGAGGTCACGAAGGACATACTGCTCTACAAGAGCGACAAGACCGCTTTCTTTAGGATGCTGGGAGCCTTTGCATGTGCGCAGGTGTTCTTCTGGAGTTACCTGACTCACACAGCGTTCCTAACCATGAAGGACACTGATACCTATGTGAAGGTGAAATATGGAGAAGAAGGTCCTCCAAAAGAAGTGAAGAACTGGAAATCATGGTCAGGAATAAGGGTGCAACTAAGCACTAGAATTTGGCGGTACACTATCACTGGACTCAGCCTCGGTGCAGGTAGCTATGTTTTTATAGAAAATAGATCAGGAATATCTTCAAACACACACAAAAAATGCAAAAACACCTACAAATATAAATGTACCACAGGAATGAAATATTGGTAAGCTCCTTCATGAAAAATACCAGTGTTCATACAAGAATTAAAACAATGAATTTAAAAAATGGAAGGAAAGAATGTTGCAATTACCCATCATTTTCCAACAATTTACCCTAGAATTTTCTAGTTTCCATAAAGCACTTGTATATTGTCCAAACGATGAAGCCAAGGCAATAGCTTCAAAAATATACTTTTATGATTTCTCTTGATAAGGCTGTTGTTGTTATTGCACTTGATTTTTTCTTTCTCTTCAAGAGCTTTAACTATCTACAATAGTTTATTAAATGTAAATTATAAAATTTGTAGGAATATAATATTCTGATCGACAATTCACATTTACCTGCCGACTTCTGAATTCCCCTATTCCCATAGGATATTCTTTGATATGATCCATCAGATTTTATTCTGAATTACCCAAAGAGATTATGAGGCTTAATTTCACTCAAACTGTTTGAAAAAGAAAAAATATTAGAGATTGGTAGGACACATGATACAAACATGAAATAAGCAATAATGAAACGCAAGGTTTGTGAGTCAGAAGATACCATAACTATATGCGATTAAAAAAAAAAACGCTGATTCTATTTCTAGTTATGAAAATAATGAAAACAGGATACTTTATGACTCACAGTTTTAACAATGATTATCTCATATGATTTATATCAAGGTTATGCTTGAAAATGGAAAATATCTAGAGAAATACCTACACGAAAATCATTCTCGTTCACATGGGTCTGTAATTATAGACTATTTTATCTTAGGTGGCTTTTCTTTGGTAGGCCCATGTATGTACAAACAATATTTATCTTATTTACTTGTTAAGACTTTAGAATGTTATAAGAACAGTTTGTTTATTTGTATAATGATTTTATATTAACTAAAATAAGAACTAATCAGTGAAAGAGCTTGCAGATCAAAAAATAAGTGTTAAAATAAATTTTCAGTTTTAATTTTTTCGCTAACCTAAAGTTGCCTTGAAATGGCATCCTATAAAGATATGGCAGGTTTGGAAGTCAAACAAGGAATTGTTCTGGGAGCTGTCGCTTATCTTGGCAGGTACAGTTGTTTTTAACACTTACACTGTAGTAGATAAGTTGAGTGACAGTGTTGAGATTTGATTGATCTTGAAGTTATAACCATTTCAAAAAATGACCCCTTGGTCCCCAAAGACAATGGGTTAATGGCATGAACATAGGATTTAAGCTGTGAAGAAATTTAGGTATCTCTCTCTTTCTCTGTGTCTTTGTCAGGTTTACCTCTTGCTTGCCTTGTCTGTTCACTACCTCTGCATTCGCCTATGACATGATTCTCTCTGATTGACTGTATTTTGCAGGTTCTATCATCTTCATAGCATCCCTGGTATACTCGAGGAGATCTATCTACCGTATCGTCCTGAGGAAGGGTGGTGAGAGCGTCACCATCCAGACCTATGGTCTCTTTGGCTTACCCTGGAGGTTCACTACATCAATCAACAATACCTCCTGTGAACATGCTAGAGATGGAATCCGTACCCAGCTGCCCATCAAGGTCAAAGGTCACCGGCTCTTCTACATCCTGGACAAGGAGGGAAAGTTTTACAATGCAAGACTGTTTGATTATAGCATAGGTATGCACAGGATGTTCTGAAGTCATCACCAATCCTTGGATGCATTGATAAGCTTCAAGATTGTAGAATGGCACAGGATGTTTTTAAGTGATCCTCTAATCTTGAATGAACTGAGCAGCGACTGGATTGTGCTTAACAGTATAGGTCCACCCTGCAAAGCTGTCAATAAAGCATTTTGCAAACTGATGAAACAAATTTAAGGTATACACAGACTGTTCGAAAGTGATCGTAAATCCTTCAGTAGACTTGCTTGTGACGAGATTGTTTGAAGACAGTACAGGAAAGTGCAGAGTGTTCTCAAATGAGAGCCATGTTTTGGGTGGACTCAAGAAAATATGATAATCAAGAACTAGCCTTAGGTGCCAGCTTTTTTAAACCATATATTGCTGTCCGCATTGTTACAAACCAATGGTGTGTATCATCAGGACGTGTGCGTCATTGCTCTGTTAATGTGATGTTTTGCTTTCTGGATTTCCCCCTAATAAAAATTTAACATTGTGACAAGGATTTTGTCTTCTTCCAATTTAATGATGATGAGTAAAATCCCAGCAGAAGAAATAATGGCCTTCAGCTCAGCTTACATGATAAAAGGGGATAATCAGTGTTTTACATGCAGTACACATGTGATGATATTTTCTATGTGTTTTTAAAAGACAACACTGTGTTACAGCTGTATCTTAGGGAAATTTGGTGTATTACTAAACAGTTCTCCATTTAAAAAATTTAATATTGTGACAAAGATTTTGAAGTAATGACAAGTTTGGAAAATATTCCTGCGTAGGAAACAAAATCATTGCCTTCAGCTCAGCTTAAAAGATAATGGAAGATACATTTTTTACATCTATATATTATATATGTGATGATATTTTCTATGTGTCTTGAAAAGACAGCAATTGCAACACCTGTAATGTTGCTAGAGGAATCCAATGTTATTATTTGAGAGTCACTAGCAGTGTTAGAAATTGATATCAATATACCTACATTTTCAAAAGATTTTTTTTTTAAATAGTAATTTGATTGTGTTTGCCATGCACATGTGAGAAGCATTGAATATATGCAGCAGTAATGCATGATACCTTATAAAATGATAATGAATTGTTGAGGAATTACCAATAAAAATCCTACTTCTGAAAAGAAGCATTTGAGACAGTAAATAGTTATTTCCATCTTATGAATTAGATTGAAAAAGCAAATTTACATATAATATGTCAACATAATATACACCAGAACTCAGACACCTTTTAAACAAATGTTAATTATGGCACATGGGAATTGAATTGCCTTTCTGATCAAGCAAGTTCATTCTTTTTAAATATGAAAAGGGATTATTTTCAACGTGTTTACAATTGATACTGTCATGTCTTTAGAATGTGAATACTGCCATCTGTGTTCAAATTCAGCCATTGTGAGGCAGATACATGAGAAATCTTGTATTACAGCAGTAATCTTATTTTGATCATGCATAGACTAAGGATGTTGGGGTATTTTCAGCTAATTTTCATGATTGAAGTTCATTTATAATTAATTAATGGTAGAAATAAGATTAATGACATTGTAAAAAGAGAGATTTTTTTTTTTTTAAATCTTGCCTATCTGGTCACACCAATTCATCGGAGATTGGTCCAGAATCAAAAGAAAAGAAGAAACCTCTTTGAAAAAGATGCACTAGACCTTGGCCAATACTGTGGATTGAATATATGAATGGAATGAATGATAATGTCTTTGTGTCAATTTTTTGCTCTTTGCCGTTACAGATAGAAACAATAGATGTAGAAGAATTGGTTTTAAAGTATGCAAGATAAAGATTTGGAGGAGAGAGAGAGAGGGGGTGGAGGGGGATAGAATAGATTGAAGAAGATAAATTGAGAGAGTGGAAGAGAGAGAGAGAGAAAGAAGGGAGTGGTTGGAGAGAGGGAAGGGGGGAGGTGGAGTGAGAAAGAGGAATGGGAGTGAGGGAATGGGGGCAAGAGATGGAGATACAGGAGAGATGTAAAGAAAGAATGAGAACTTGCAGGAGAGTAAGGAGGGCAATCACAAGGGTGAAGTAAGATACATTGCCCTCTTAGAGACCTTGGTGAAATAAAAGGAGTTGCGTGACGGGGAAGTTTTGAAATAAGAAGAAAACAAGAAAATTACATTACATTGTGACCTAATATTAAACTTCTTTAATATATTGAAAATGATTTAATATCGGATCGGGTAAAAATAATTTCCTTTGACTTCAGTGTAGTTATAAATTCTATTTGATTTTTTGTAGATACTCATGATTCTATGAAAATGAATTGAAAATGATACACATCACTTTTGATTAAAACTAAATGAATGGTCATTACTCTGGGAAATGGAAGATTGAGATACTCCAATTGACAAATAGGAAAGTGCATTCAATCAAGACTACCTTTAAATAAAATCATGCTGTCAGTTAATACATTACATTGTAAAGGGCATATATGTAGTTTATGTACTTCAGATCTTATTAATATCACAACGGTATCCTCTAAATTTAGAATACAAATATGCATGGGAGTGGGGAGGGGGATGAATGAATTTGAAAGAAGAAGATCAATTTCCCTAGAGATAAGATTGAGCAAGATTGAGACTGACATGATTGACAATGCACACTCAAGATATTTATAAAGCAGCAAGAGACACAAACACATCTCACATGGCAGTGATGCTTGCAGTTTCCATGACAACCAAATTAGTCTCAAATTTGGATTAATCTCGTCAGTGAAGAGCAGAGAAGAGTAAAAGTTCCTGTTGGCTACATGGTAACCATGGCAATTGTCTCTTCCCCAGAAGCCTTTCTCGTTTGTCATGCTCACAGCTGGTATCAGATTACGCCATAACAAATTTCTTTTCTCTTTCAGAAAGGGAGAGCTATATATGAAGTTGGCATGGCAACATAAAATACAATGTATGTTTGCTCAACGGCTTGGACCACTTCAAATGGAGGCTTTCATTCTCCTCCACTTCAAAAGAGAGGCAATTCAAAACCAGTTTCAATACATTTATAGACTTGATAGTTCTTTGAGCATATATGATCATTGCATATTTATATCAGATAATACAGGAGTGGATGAAAGGCAAGGGAAGTTGATGTGAGTGCATAAAAGTATGCTTGAAGATGCAATACATTGAATTTTTAAGATGAGGACAACTTGGAAACCCTTAACAAGCTGTGTTTTAGCAAAATTTTAATAATCTTTAACATCCCTTGTGATGTTCAGGAGCTTGCAACTGGTTCCATCGATGCTCATTGTGCATTTTTATGATATGCTATTGCTGGCTATAACATTATTCACATGCAAGAATAATAACTCCTAGTACCATTCTAGATTTTGTTTTAGAGATATCATACAGGGGGAGGTGAGGGGGAAGCAATGCACCAAATGTAAATCATAAATGAATTATGTTGAAATAAGAAATCTCCAAATACCGTACGGTAGATTATTGAAAATATTTTATATTTTAACCACAACTAAAATTCTCAGCTTTTGAAGTTAGGCATCCGTGTCTGAAGCATACAAAGCGGAACAGATAAATACCGGTAGTCAAATAAGGAACAAAAGTTGAGCTTCAGAAAAGAAAAGAGTCAAAACATTTTTATGACGTTGGTGTAGTCGTTTTTCATAAATTAGGTTTGAATTTACAAAGGACATGCTCTCTTGCCTGTGCAATTATTCTCACAATGCCATTGCTACATTTCAATTTCTTTTATTTGTTAATGTCTTTTTTTGTATAAAAGATTTGTTGTTGTAAGTACCCATAACACATGTACTCAAATCACCCCACCCCTTGTTGTACACTACTTGTAATAAATCAGGGATATGTATTAATAATAGCTGGATGTGTTTGCAATCATCTCAGACGATAAGTGTTATGCTAAGCCGAATGTTGCCATGGGCAACGATTATGCTTATTTAAGGGGTTGATCTCGCTTGGGCTCAAGTGTGTGATATGTATGTAGTGCATCAATCATAGCTCTCCTTTATAATGAACTTTGAAGCTTCCCAGTTTTAGCATAGTTTGATTCAGGCAGATATGCTCGCATACGGTCTTTAAATGCGTACAAACACTTAGGGAAATTGGAATTGAGCGTTTATCATTTCTAATTCTTCAAGTTATTGATAAATTTTCCTTTCCACAATTTGTAACTTTGCGATTCTCCTCCACTTTAACCTCTTGTATGGCCTCTTGCCTTTCAATCATATTTCACTCTTTCTTTGTCATCTATTTCTCTTTCTATTCCCCCTCTCTCTCTCTCTCTCTCTCTCTCTCTCTCTCTCTATTCTCATGCCAGATAATGCAATACAGAAAGTACAATTTATCATGAACCATTAATGATACATTTTGCTTTATCATTTATTTCCCAACAAGTTTCTTACAAAGGTTGAACGAAGTTTTATTCTTAACTACGATATACTGTACAATGTTTTTGTTCTTTTTTTTGTTGTTCTTACTTGCACTATACGATTTTGTGTCAGTGAACAAAGCATGCGAGACAATGATAAGATTAATGATAATAATGATACATGGTTACCATATACTTCTTTGGCACCAAATACAAAAAGGAAAAAAATTGGTGCTAAAATAAAACACTTTGAGGTCACATCATGGCTCTTCAAGTGTTAGTTGGATATCGCCTTTTGTTCCCGTACCCAACCTTTGACTGAAGAATAAGAGTCAGGATGGTTAAAGGCATAGTCAGATTTTGTTATTTTCCAGTAAAAACATCCTCTCCATAGATTTTGCAAGGAATTTTAGCATAAATAAATGCATGAATGTTCAAAGTTCCCTAAATATTTGATTGTGATAAATAAATATAGCTCATACCTGATGATCATATTTGTTCTGGGTAAAATAAAAATCATCATTATTTCCATCATGATTAGTAGTTGTAAGAATAAATATATACTGAGATGTACAGCGATAATACATCAAATATATAAGGATATTACTGGATAATATTGTAATAGAAGAATAACTTAAATTCCCTTTCTCACTCATCAGTACTCAATAATTGTAGAAAATGTATGCACTTTGAGGAAAGAAAATAACCATGCTAAAAATTACAGATCTCCTATTCAGCCACCATTTCTTGCTGAAATGAATTACAAATCGTTTCATTCATTTAGGGATCACAAGAAGTACATAGAGTTTTCTACTAACAAGTTTGATCAAAATGTGTTAGACAAAACAAGTATGATAAATTACCCAACCATCCAATAAAAAATAATTTGCACAATAATACTTGTTTCCAATGTTCTTGATTCATCTGCCCAAGATAATGAAACCTTGATATAATGAATAATATATCCTAAACATAAAAGGAATTCTTGCTACCAAACTTTAACTGAAAGGAAAAAGATTTCCTGTTGGAAAAAAAAAATGAAACTGGATAATTGAACAGTAAAGTTTCATGCTCCCCCCCATGAATTATGAAATACTTAACATCTTAAATATCCAATATAGTCACACCCCCAGTGTATACATACACATGAAGATCATACTTCGTGATCTTGTTTTCAAGATATTCAGATAATTAATCTGTTCATAACTGACCAAAGAAGAGTACTTGTATCATTCTAAAAACAATGTAAAAAGGGGAGTAAAATGTCACATAACTCTTTCTTGTACATGCACATTTTTAATATTTTGTTCACAAAAAATCTCTCCAAAATCTGTCCTTGTTTGGGTAGGTATTATCTACCAATAAAATTGAAACTTGCTTTTCCTGATATAAAAATTATATATAATTTAATCACACTCACACACTAAATCATAATGTGAAAAGAAAAATTACCCAGAAACACACGTGGATTGCAACATTTTTCCATCGGCAATACTACATAATTTCAGCAAAAAAAAAATGATTGTGGCAAGTTGCTTATAAAACAATAAATTCAACAGAACCCTGATTAAAAAATGACAAAATAAACCAGGATAAAAAAAAAATCATTAACAAAATTATGATTTCACACACCTACTAATAGATTGTATATTTCATTTCCTTGAAATGATCTTAAAAAAAAAAAAAAATGAAAACCTATGATTGCTTCAACAAGACCAACATTTCATTTTCTTTTAATGTTTCACGTTTTAAGACTGAATAAATAACATTACAGGGTTTCCCTAATTTCAAGAATATAAATGAACTTCAAAGAAATACTCAACATATGAAGGTATGTTCTTCATATCAACTCTCTCACTCATAAATGATACAAACATATAGGTATGATGACCATATGTCATTATGTACTCTTGCTTTCCCTCATGAAAAAAAAAATCAATGTACAGTTCCAGAGACAATATAAATTGTACTAAAAAGTCATAATTACAACAAGATAGGTCCTGATAAAAGAAGAGTATAGAATATTGTTAAGTAAATACAAATAATTACTGCTAACCATACTCTTAAACTTGTATAAAATGATAAGACATAATCTTACAAAGAGAGAAAAACACAAAATTGCAAAAAAAATCCCTTTGATTTGTGCAGTGAGAGAAGAAAAACTTATCAAAATTACTGCTGATCATAAGATATACACGTATGCAAGAACGTATTGATTAGTAAATATAATACTACTATTGCACAACGTGAGAGAGAGAGAGATAATTGAAAGCAGTAAACACGTAATGGTGAATAATGAATGCACTAAAAGAAAAATGAAATTGCTACTGTACATCAAAATACTTTTAAGCAAAAAAATATAAGTCTAATTTACTACAATTTTGGCAAATGATCTCACTCTCACTTTTCATTTGAGTTATGTCATGTGGCATTCTTACTTGGCTACAACTTTCCTTAGAATGTTTTTTCAACAAAATGCAAACTACTGAAAGTAACTATAGTAATATACAACTTCTTGGTAGTACTTACCAATCTAAAATAATGACTTTAAAACAATTTCATCAAAATTAATTATCTCCTTTTCCACTGGTTTCATATTCGGCATAATGAAAGGGGAAATCTTTTTTTTTGACTTCTGCTACTATATTTCTCAATGGCTGCTAATACATGAAATTTATGCATCAAATTGGTGAATGATACATTCATTAATACCAATGTTTTAAGTGTTTACATTTACAAGTGTCAACTAATATGGAAGCACAGCGCAAAATGAAAATGTTTAACAAATCAAACTTGGGTCTTCCCAAATAATTGAAATGAGTAGAATTTTTTTTGAAGAGATACAAGTCTCAAATGAGGGCTAAGATATTTGTTAATGTTGAATATTTGTTCACAATTTTGTTTTACTTTGCTTCAAGTACAAGTATTTTTTTGGTACAAAAGAAAGTAATTTCAGTTTTGAATACTGGTGGTTGGGAAGACTGTACGTACATATAAACAAACAACAAATGTACGTTTATAGCACAAAGATCATAATTGTCTAATTCACTAATACAGTGATGTGTTCATTAAACTTACCAAGGCATGATATACATGCATGCTTTAAAAAGTTTTATGCACACAATACTGTTGCTTGTAATGTTTACGTATGAAACTATGGTTTCATTCTGGATATTTACCAATTGGTTGTAGTCAAATAGTTTGCAATTGTGGTAATCTTTCATACATTCAACTTCATTTTTTTAAATTAAATTTTTCCAATAAACTGTGAATCTGTGACCATGATTTCCAAAATAATTATTGAGGAAAAATATCTGAACAAAATCGAGTTGATAAATGTGATATAATGAGACATCATAGAGTATGAGATGATCCTCCTTCTATTTTTAGTACTGCCACACAGGTCTTATGATATACTTGATGGATAATGACATTCATGCTTCGAATGAAAACTTACAAAAACTATCAACTAAATGGCAAAGAAATATGTTTTACTGTAAACTGTCAAATCAGCACTATAAAGATCACCTGATGTTATTAAAATGCGTTATATTCAAGCCCAGCACCATTTATCTAGGAAAACCATAAATGCACCATTCCCTTTCTCACTTATCTACTATTAAAAAAATGAGATAATATCACTACATTAATCCTACACTGGGAAGTTCAACATGACTAGCACCGCGTATGTATGTTGTTCTAAAGCTCCAAATTTCAGCATGTAAATTGTTCAGTATAGACAGATAAATGGAAAACTTAATTTTACTTGTTCACACTATTTGCACTTCATATTGTTCTCGAGCTGCATTTTCTCTTGCATTGAAGAGCTTGATCATTGTGGAAATGAATTGGTCGTATTTTGGCATTATCACAGTTCTCGCACAATACCCATGTCATGTTTGTTGAGGTTTCACAAGCAAATCCATATTGAGAAGTTTCCAAACATGACACTTCTCTCTTTGGTTCCTGAACCCTCATGTGTAACTAGGACTCAATACACAATTATTGGTTTGGTTTTTCCTGAAGTCATGTCAATAGGATTGCTTTTTTGTTCCAATTCAAATACTGATGAAATTAGTAATGATTTAGAGCACTAGAAAGTTGTTTTTTCTTTCAAAGGAGATCTACTAAAATGTCTTCATTGTATCATTCATAGTAAGTAAAGTTTCAATAGATTACACCAATGATTCCAATGAAACTTTGCAAAAATAATTCTTAAACAATTCAGCTGAGTTGTATTTTAATTAAAAGTTCTTTTGAGATACACACCTTCCCCTACTCCATACACCATCAAAGATTGTATTCAAATAAACATATCTCATAATCACGTACATCAATTTATATGAAAATTATTGTAAGAAACAAACAAGAACTTGGCAAATGCGTATCTCCCATCGTACCTAGCTCTTCTCCTCAATGGTGTGCAGCATTGAAAGCATCTACTACATGAGACCCATGATATGACCTTTGACCTCTCTCCCGCCTACACCTCTTTTCCTTCCCTACGACACAGTACTAAAAATCTTCATGACATGGCATAATCGTATAAGACTTTTTACAACATATTTACACAAATATCCCCAATGTATGCTTTCAAAGCACAAGCAAGTATTTACAAGATGGAAGCACTTGTTCAATGCTTACAACTTTTCTAAACAAAGGGGAAAAGTAGAAAATAAAAAGCTATATGTACTATCTTCAAGATGTGACTAAAACTACCTACATCTACACCTATAGCCTATACAAGAAGTGTTTTTTACGCCGAATGTTTTACGTATATACATCTTGCTCAACAAAGAGAACCCTCGCAGCAACAATTGACAAGATATTCAACCTTGAATATAAACCAAACCTGCTACTAACAATAGCTTTCAGAAACACATGAGTTGCTCGATTTTTATAATGTTGGTATGAACTGAAAAAATAGAGCTGATCATTGTCTTCTCAATGTATACATACATACATTTCTCTCCTGTTGAGGCGACACAGAGTTCATTATGAATTATCAAAACAAGAACAGTTGTCTAGCCCTATTCAGACAAACTTGACAAAGAGAAATTGCTTTCCTTTGTCTAAATCACATACATGTATGTCACTGTCTGCCAAGATAATGTACCAGAAATTCAGAATAAGCGATTTTTAAAATCGCTATATGAACTAGTAATTTTAATGAGCAATGATTGTAATTGCTTGCCCTGTCCTGAAAAAGTTGGATACGTTGAGAAATGCCAAAGCAACATAAAGCAAGTAAAAGATGATGTGCATCAAAAAACGGCAAAACATTCTGAATGACCTCATCGAAGGAGTTTGTGACTTCCTTAGTTCTCTTCACACTTTCTTCCTATCATTAGGAATATCAGAGGAAGAGAGCCCTTACTTAAAAAGGATTATATCAGCCCTATCTCACCTCATAAAACCTTTCCGTCTTCCTACCTCCACATGCATCATATACTTCAAATGTTTCATTAGGTAAAAGAAAATGAAAGTAGAATAAACAATGTGATTGCACATTAAAAGCTCTTTTCATTGTGCTCTACAATCTCAGGTTTGTTTGTTTTTATTTGAGATGTTTTCCTCAATCTTGAGTTGTACTGGAAACAATCATTTCTTTATAAAAAGCTTCCTATCATCAAAAAAGTCCAAGGAGCATCATGATCTCCTTCCAATCATGATCTCCTTCCAATGATGTTTTCATCTCTTGTCAAACAGCCAAAGACCACTCACACAGTCTCTTTCTATACTGAAGAGGGAGCTGTACACATCTTCATCTAAATGTCTCTTGACTGTATAAATACTGAAAACCTACAAACATTCTGACATAATACAACCTCCTAAGAACATTTCAAACATCTTGGATCTTTTACTATATCATCCACTGAGTAGGTAAGCTCTCTGTGTAAATGCAAAACAACGAAGATCTATCTTGACTTGTTGGCTTGGGAGAAATCAGTAACCACAGACCCAACTTCAAAGTGTTTTCCCATATTCTCTGCTCAAAGCAGATGATCTGTTATTGTTCCTCTTTGTCTTAGTCCATCAAGTCTCTGCTGATACTGCTTCATCATATATCCAGGCTTTACTACCTTGAAGCTTCCAGGACTTCTTCTGTCATCATGACATCTGTACTCTCCTCTGGACCTGGACTACCTGCTTCCTTGGCTGGCATTGCCTCTGCACCGATACCGGACAGGATGAGAAGGGCATCAGCAAGTTTCTTGTCCTCCTCTGTCATACGGGGAGGACGCTTCTTTAGGGGAAGCAGTGCTTCTTTCTCATCGACTCGTTTACCACCTTCAAGATGAAAGTGAACTCCACTATCGCCAAGCCTCCTGAGAAAGAACACAAAATTGAATGTTAAAAGGACGGAATCTCAAATCTCTAAAAAAAAACACCCCATCATTAAAACCCTGGTGACATTGTAGAAGACATTTTGTTAGCATTAACTTTTGCCACTTAGTAACTGGAGAGTCAATTAACAATGTAGTATTCAAATAGCAGCAATCAACAAGAAAAAGAATGGGGTGGGGTGGAGGGGGGGGGGGGGGAAGAAAACCAAGTTTTATTTTACCTGGACTCCTGATCCATATCTGATTCATCTTCAAAGCTCTCATCACTGAAGTCACTCATCTCAACATCCCCAGGATCGGAAGAGTATCCATGATCAGCCTGTACCTTGATAGATGAACTAAGACTGTAGGTATGGTCCATACCGCTTGGTGATGGGGTACACTTGGCTTTAAGCATCTCTCGATTCTCAGGGGTCACTGCCACCCTACTGATACTGTGGTACAAGGTAAGTTAAAACACTTTGTTAATGAGTTGAACTGCAATTTGATATTGTCATCTGTACTCCACCAGATCCTTCATTTGGAGAATACTGAAAACTCATTACTTTCTCCCATTAATATCCCTGACAATATAATACCTATCGTCACAAATTCATTCTCATTTTCCATTCTCCTTTTGTCTTATAGTTTCATTTGCTCCTACCCATTAACATTATTTGGTGACACAAATTATTTACTTGAGATCTGTAACTCTTCCAGATATCATTTGGGGGATACAAAAATTTGAAAGTGACCCAACATTTGCTCTGGTTACATTTGATCCTGGCTTCATTTTGTCAAAGATATGTGATTAGAGTTAGGGTTGCAATTAAGTTCAAGTTAAGTTTATGCTTAGGGTTATGTACAATATTTGATCCAGGGCTCAACTTAGGAATTTCAATAAATGTAGGAAACTGTCCTCTGCATGTGTCAGAGTCATAGAACCAACTTGTCTTATCAAGTAGGCAAGCTTTGAGATTGATTTATCATAAAATGCAAGACAGTGTTCCTACCGGTTGTCTCCAAGCTCATTGAGAGCAGTCTCTGCCAGGTCACTGAGTGTAGGTCTACAGTGAGGCTGTTCAGGTCTGATCTGGATCGGTGCAAGTCCTCCCATGATGATCAAGTTCTGATTGGCAATGGGTCTTGCACCTGGATAGGACTCCCTCTTTAGTCTGTCATCTGTACAAGGGCAAAGAGAGAAAGTGATCATCAAGATTAGAACTGACTGTAAAATGAGTATGGGATTGAGTGGAGTATCAATTCACATTTAGAGATATTTTGAAACCTAATACTCCAATAAAAATATAACTGTGATTGGAGAAATTTTCATTTATGTGTTCTTGCAATTGAAACATTGAAATTTGTATGAAGTTGAGGATTCGTTCTTTTGTGCTGGAAAGACTTTCATCAAAATTAAGGGCAGCCAAAATGTATATGTTATGCCATTTTGGAACTAATTATCAACAGCTAAGAAGTCTAATGCAAATCATTTTTTAGCAGGCGCATTTGCAAACTGTTTAAATACTGGATAACTAATAACTAATAACTAATATTGTAGTTGCAAAGGAAATGCCACCATAGAAGTAACTAACACACAAACCATTTCATAGAACAAACTATTCAAATCTTTTAATTCACTTTTGATTAGTTAAATCATGAATCAACTTTTAATTAATTGATCTTCCAATCATATTAAACACTGAAAAGTTTCTATTGTTTTGTAATATATATGTATGTATGTTGATAACCGGTAATCAATCTTCCAATCATGATCGACACTGAATATAATGATTGTTTTGTAATATATGTGCATTAAACAGATGAATGTCCCAACAGCCAACCCTATGGGCCTGCACTAGAGCATAAGATACCCTGCATGTGGGAGAATAGTTCTCTGCACGGGTAGCATGTAATTCTGTATGCAGCTCTCTCTTTCAGGCGCAGCAAGACATATGGTTTCCAGATCATCTAGTTCTATGCCAGAACTAATTACCCCAACACTTACGCTGTACCACAGTTTGATGATATTTTCGTCCCTATCACTCCATAAGATTTAATTACATGCTTGCAGGATAGATATCTGCTGGTCCCATGCACAAACGTATATTGTATTTCAAGAGCTTGTCTGGGGATCACGTTGCACTAGTCTACATTGCAGGCTTGGGAACTACCTTTTCTGTTTTTGTTTTTGTAACATAGGTAACATAGATCTTTCTATCATTATAGTTTACTACAAGAGGGAAAACTCACAATTACAATGAAAGGAAATACTTGTATAGGCATTGCAAATTGATGCAAATTCATTTCCCCCCATCCCTTGTTATGGTGTTGAATTAATTTTTGATAAATGGATTTGAAGCTGATATGTAAATAATTTCTCATAGTCACATGTGCTGTCAAGCAGAGAACAGCGGACAATAAGCCATTAATAATGAGAACATTTGATGATGCCAAACAATCTCGTATAATTTCCATCTCATCATTAATCATATTCTAGTTTAGAAGTAGAACATGATAAAGTGGATCTGAGTTGACTGAATGGCAAATGTTTCTCTGGAGACTACTCACAAGAGATCCGACCCAATAAACAAGGTGCATACAGTGATAAAGATTGGCATTTTAGTAAATGGATGCTCGAAACTAGAAATATGGATAGTCCTATGACAAAGTCATGCTCTAAAATGTCTGCTACTGTTGACTATTGTTGATTCTTAAACATTCCAGACAAAATAATAAATACAGCCTGCCAACTAAACTAGCTATGTTGTTCGTTTAGAAACTATAAGTTCTGTGTTTTATTCTCAGCAAACATGAATTTGTCATTTATGGAAACAAAGTTAGAAGCAGCCGTACTTGGCTTCGGTTTCACTTCGTGCCATTCAGGCTTTCATCATAACAGCTAGGCTGCAAATATTCTTCTCCATGTTCTCAAATTAACATCAGTTGTGTGTGTGTGTGAAGTTTGATTCAATGTTGTTAAGTGAGAAACCTATATTGAACAGGGGAATACTTGAGGTGATGTTGAGTGGTCTATTTTGATTGAAACTATGGCATCATATAACAACCTTGGCAACTTCAAAGAAATCGCTTTCTCTGCTAGTACTATTTATGAGTGAAGTAACTTTGTAATAAGTATCATCTGGTTAATTGGAATAAGAAGTGGAAATTTCATAACTCCTCAGCACTTAATGACAGGATATGATGTATCATATGCTCTTTTTTTAATCAAAATTACTAATCCCCACCCCTCCCCCATGAGCACAAAGAAGTACCTCTTCCAGAAAACTATGTTGTGAAAGTAAAATCCATCATGAATGCACCCTGATACTCCTATCTTTGTTATAATAATAGTGCAACTGAACCTTTGACATGAAAGTATCATTGGGTAAGCTCTGTGTAAGCATATCTTCATTGTGTCTTTACTGACAGGAATGGGAAACATGTGGATGTTTAGTGATCAAATGGATTCCCCTACCTACATTCATGAATAAAACATTGCCATACATTTCATGCTGGCTTACCTTTCCCACATTTAAACGTTTCCCAACAAAACCACAGCTCGTCCCAGAAAAAAGAATTCAATTATAGAAATGTCCTTCACACATAAAACAGTTATTTTTTTCTAAACCCCCTTTCATTGACGAGTCTCTGACTCTTCAACCGATTTACCCTTTTCCTATTCATATTTTAATGAAATTCATTTTTAACGGCGGATCGAGGTTCATTCAACTTTGCTAAAAAGCTGATGATTATTATGGCATTTTTTACAAGGTTCATAAAAATTACACACCTTATAAGGAAGGAAAAAAACGATGGAACTGGCCTATAGCCAGGAGGCACACATTTCCAACCCATTACAAATCCTATCTAAACCTAAACCCTAAAGCCTAACCTTTAGTTTATCAATGAAAGGTTAATCACATTACACACTTTATATAAAGCAATGAATAATAATCTTGCATATTGTGAGTGAGAGTTTATTCCATGTTCCGACATAAAAATTGCCAAAACATTCATTTTCTCTGCTACAAAAAAGAAAAGAACTCTATATGAATTCCTTGTTTGTAGGTTTACTGTGTAATTTACCAATAAGCTTTCTGTATCTAGGGGTCCTAATACAAGATGATTTAAACAAAATATTGAAGATTTCTTTTCTTGACGACAAACTTACGTTCAGCCAGTCTCCTGTCAGGGGGCGTTCTAAACATCATCATGGTGGCTGCAGCATCTACCTCACATTCTAAAAAGACCAAACATGGATGAAACAAATGTTCAATGAAACTGTAAAACTGAAGCTGTACATATAGCCTAATAGTATTCTGTTATATCTTTTTAAATAAGGTTGTTTTAGAAGTTATTTATCCCTCTATTTTGTAGACTTGGAAATATTATCGATTATTTAAAAAAAAACTATTCAATAAAGTGTGATCCGAGATGTACAAGAAATAGAAAACTTGAAGATTTTAAAGGCCTTTTTCTACTGCTAAACTTCTACAAATACCACTGCTAGTAGTGCTACTAGTTCATAAAGCTACGGCTTCTGCTGTAAGTTTACATACAGGTTCATCAAACACCTCTTAGCTATACAAACTTTGCCATATAAATGTCAGAAAGGAAACCACATGATAATCAGTTAGACTCCTAGGCAAAGCAAAGAAGCAAATAAATAAGAAATTATCTACCAGTTATTATCTACGTACATCTTGATTTGTTTTTGTATCAACAGAGATACCTCTACCACAAAGCAAAGATTAGAAGAGGGTACTTGGCAGGGGCGCGTTTCGTTTGCACTTGGAAATACGCAGTAAATTACTGCACACACTTGCCAACGTGCTGTAAATTTCTGCTCAAACAGCGCGAATTAACCAGCTCTCGCATGCGGCTTTAATCATTAACACCAGAAGCTTGGCTGCAATTATGTGTATCAGAGCAAACATTAATTCAATCACAATTTTTAAGGGATGAGAGGATAAAAGCAATAGTAGTTTAGTCTACCAGACTCTATTTAGGAAAAGGCCCTATAAACTCACATTTTTTTCTGGTTGGTGTTATAAATACTTTTGAAGAAGAATTTTGTTTTTAATGTTCTTAAGCAAACGCTTTGAAAGCACTTGGGGACATTTTTGTCCTTTTTAAATCATATATATTTTCTTACATCATCTAGTCTTAGAGACTGCACCAAGGGCCTGTAACATACATTATCATTGTTTGTTTAACAAAACAAGGAAATATATTCAGAGTACTGAGAAAGGATAGGAAGAAATATGGCAAAGCAAGAATGGAGACGAGGGGGGGGGGAACTATTGAAACCTGTCATGAGAAGACTAAAATAACCCTCAAACCCCCAGACTAATGTGGTCAAATCAAGGTGTGATTATTTGGGTAAATTCTCCATCGAGAATGGCACAAGGGCTTGCAGTGGGCCATGGTTCAAGCTTGGTTTAAAGCTTGAGATAGAGACATCTGCCCTCTAGGGGTAATCGCGCATGCCAAATTTTCTTGCGGACCGGCTCATGAGAGAATCTCAAATTCTTCCACTTAGATGCTCGTCCAAGCAAGCAGAGCAGAGCAAGCAGAGCAGAGCAAGCAGCTTTGATATAAGAACAAAAAATATGCTGAGAAACTAAGCAATTGCTTTCTGGGCCTAAACAGATTTGAAATAATTTTTTGTTGATGAAACCCACAAAAACGTATGAGTAAACTGGGGGGGGGGGGGGGGGGGATTTTGAGAAATTTGAAAGCAAGAAAATTACAAGCATTTTGGGTGAAGAAACAGGAGTTGCTATGGCTTACATATTCTTTTTTCAGTATTATCTAAAACAAATATCTAACAATATCAATTCGTTTTACATGTTAAAATTGATATTAACAAAAGGCGCATGAAATGGAAAGGCACATATGTACTTAGAAATTGTACAAAGGAATTGTATACTACCGGTACTCCCATTATAAACCTACACCATAAATTCTTTCATCTTGAAAATAAGACAAATGAATAATACAATATTTGCTTTGCATGGTTTGCTCTCTGGCCCGTGTGTGTTTTACTAACTCGTTAGCTCTCGGCTTTCATAATGTAAACTATATTTTTGACAAATTCAGAAATAAAGAGCTTGAACTGGTCATCAATCACTAGTCGTTGAGACCCAGTCTATACCATCTGTCATCTTGTTTATCCAACAAGCTTATAGCATACTGCCCTCCTGTGATGCCCGCCTGTGATGCCACAAAATGAGCAGTAATTGCCATGTTTATAATCTATAAACACGACCTGGTCAAGTATTAGCATTCATCAAAGCATGTATTGGGAATCATAATTTTAAGACCTTCCAAGCTCTTAAAACAAAGGATTTAATGAGGGGAGGGGGGGGAAGTCAGTTTTAGAATTATGATCCTCACACGCATGGTTGATGAATATTTTGATAGATTTTTACTGGAAAAAAAATGCTTTTGCTTACCAAGATCCAAACTATTTTGATGGGCCTGGTTATGAGTAAGCTGGCTGTTAAGAAGTCTCTCTACCAAAGCTATGTGAGCTGTAAATAAAAAGAAGATAAGAAGGAAAAAAATAGTGTTTAGTGACGTTGTAATGACAATTATGTATAGATGGAAGGACAAGAAACATACATATATGTAGGTATATGTAGGTTGAAAACAAGTCAATTATTGTGAGACAATTACATTGGTATGATCTAATTCATGGTTTTGTATCCTAATCCCACGCTTCTTCCCTTCCATATTTCCTGATCTTACCATACTGGATTGTATCTGTGTACAATACCGGGAAGTTAACAAGATGCAATTCTCAGTGCCTCATCACAGCCACACCTATGATCTTTATTGAAGCTCTTACAGAATATGCACATAAACTTCTTCAGAAATGAATGGAAAAACTACCCGGCATGAAAACAAAGAGTGCTATTGAAATATTGTTTGTCCTGTTTTTTTGCCTGAACCATTGTTAGTTTTAATGCAAGCAGCAGCCGCTCCCAAACTGTAAATAACATGAATTACTATAACAGATCATGTGATAATGATTCCTGTCTTCATACTGTATTGGTTGCTATGGAAATAGCTAACCACTGTCATGGCAACTGGCATGTGGCTTTGCTATTTTGGAGAGGAGGAAAGATGGAGGACAAAAACAATTCTGACCTCTGCGTGATTATTCAATTATAGCAGGCCACATGATCCCAAGGTTGAGAAAATCATTACCGGAGCTGAGGGCATGTAAAATCATTCAATTGGCAACAGCAGAAATCTAATGTGATCCTTCTTCTCCCCCTTCTTTTAAATGGTCTCACACACTAATTTCTCTCAAAATTTCTGTAATAGGTTTCTTGTAATGACTACCAGTGTATTTTGTTACATTTTTAAATGTAAATTCAATAATACTGATTGTTACAATACAATTGGCAAGAGCTCACTATTATCCTCGTAATTGAAAGTCATTTAAGTGTGTAGGCCTATATCGCTTTATGAATGTATACAGTCTATGAAGATTGGTGATATATACTGTGAATACATAATATAACTCAGTCTCAAACTAATGATATATTGTAATTTGTTGGCATGACACAGAGGAAATCTGTAGGATATCCTGTAAAATCATCATATCAAAACAAAACCGCAGCTGCATTTATGTCTGAATAATTTTATTTCCCTGACCATATCCCCTTTCATTTTAAGGGCATGAAATTAAAAGATGGTGATGAAATTTTGTTTAAAGGAAGAGATTTGTTCGACTGTTCAGGTTTGAAGAATTTAATGTAGAGGAATAGAGTTGAGAATAGGTAATAGTAATGAAATATAGGAGATGGTGCTCATTTGAAGAACAAAACACACATAATGATATTCAAATTAAGCAAGCCACTGTGAAGCCACACGTGGAAGACAATTATCATAACTAAAAATGAAATACAATGAAATACAAAGATACAACTCTACAATAAAGCCAAAGATAAATAATACTTGATCAATAAGCACATTAAACCTCATTTAAAGGTGTACTTGTACAATGATTATTACATATATATACATGACTCATAAATGCAGGAAGAGAATGAGAAGACAAGGGCAAGCTAGCGATAGAAAAGGTTACCAGTAGAAGTAATTTAACTCCTCAATTAAAAAGAAAAAGCCTACCCAAATTGGATCAGGGCATTCAGGGAAGACACACAATCAGCAAGTGTTAATTTGGGTGCATCAGTTGGGCCCTAATGTTTCATGCAGAAGGTCGGTACTAATGTTGCCTTCGCCCCGCTGAGTTCTGGTGGGACAAACGCTGACAGGCGTAAACTCACTAATGTTGTTAACAGGCTTACTAAGGCTGATCAGATGTACACATTTGAAGCAGAGAAAGGGGCCCTACTTCAAGTACTTGCCATGTTGCAGGTGACATGCAGGGGTAACCGCATTGTAATTAAACCAGCCAAGCAGACCCTTTTGTTTCAAGCATCTACCAGCCAAGACAGACAGGTGGAAATATAATGAGAAAATGCTGTCTGCTACAGACTACATCATAATGAAAAGTGTTACATTATCCACTATTTCACAACAGTTTTAATCACAGAAATAAAAAGCTGCATTTCCTCAAGTGTGTGTGTTTAGTACTCTTTTTTCGTTGTTGAAAGAAATGTTATCATTCAATTTTAAGACCCCCCCCCCTCCACTCCCCTCATCAAAAAAGGAAAATAGTAGTCAATATTTAGAATTTTGCCAAATTTGGACAAAGCCAAATGCATGCTAAAGATGAAAACATCATTCAGTTCAGTCAATGCACATGCATATGAATAACCTCCCTCAAAGTGTGTCAATTTTCGCAAAATAGGTTTGCAATACACAGCTTAATACCCATATCATTCATTGACAAAGGAACACTTACGGTGTTCATTCACTCGTGTGCGTAGATCTAGGTTTTACACATAATGCATAATGTGGCTTATTATTATACAGGTCTAATGGTAATTAGTGCATTAAGTATTGGCAGGATGTTACCAACCAACCAGGATGTATTGCATTGATTGAATGATACGTAATATCGAGATTTGGCCCGTATTTAACTGGTTTCTTATCAGGTTTCACTCTCGGTATTTAATCATCTTTGCGTGCCTCATGTTACATGAATGAAGTTATGGTAGTGTCTATATTACTTATTTCCTGTGCAACCATACATCTGCTGGGGAGGGCTTAATCAATTTGCTCTAACAAAACAACCTTGATTGTGTATGCAAGGAACAG